TCTGATTCATCATCATTTACTATTTATTATCATTTGACTATCCGTAGTTTTGCAGACTTGTATTTTCACTGGGTACTGATTGAAGGTGAAATGAAAATCTGGATCCCCTCTCTGATTCAGTTAGTTTTGGATTAGGTTGAGAAGTTCTGACATTCGCCAGCTAATGTGAATGCGATAAAGTGGTAGTATCACATCATGAATTCACATGGCAGTCGGACAAAACCATATGGTAATTGAAGTGAAATAAAAATCTGGTGAGTAGTCGGAGCTCGTAGCTCAGTTGGGTAGACCACCGGCCCAGTAAACTGGTGATCTAGCCTGCCAAACTACGGCAGATAGTCAAGTGGTTATAGTGAATAATGTTTGTTTTTGGAGGCATTGTAGATCAAATAAGAGCTGTAAATTCTTTCCGTTTAACGATTTATCATCATCAGGTTCATAATGACAAGTATGCATAGAAAGGGAAAGTGGACACCACTAAACCTTATGAATATCACTTGACCTGTTGACATAGCTTAGTGGTGTAAGATGAATTAGGTGAAACAAACTTCTGGTTAATATTATCTGATGGTTTGTGAAGATTTCCTAATCGATTTTAGATTGGAATTCATCATAGACTAATATCAGTTTGAGGAACATTGGAAACCTGGGAGCATGGAACTTGAAAGTCCAATCCCTAGTGGCATCATGGGTGTGCACTGCTGAGGAATCCCATACTAGGATGAAACAGCTGTCTAGTGCTGCCAGGTCTGTCTCTAGTCTTCCTCTAACTGATGATCAATTGCAACCCAGAATCAATTAAGAATCTGTACAAACCTTCGGATTGAATTAATCAAGGGCTCATTGGTTGACTAGCTTCGAGCTGTAATTCCCGAAGTTCCAATGACAAGTTATGGCGTGACTAAAGGGGTCCACCAAGTTGAACATGATGACAGTCACTCAACTGTGACATTAGATGTAGGTCACGAAATTACGGGTGCGCACTTCTGAGGGGTCTCATACTACGAATGGTTAAGTAGAAGCCTTACGTATTGGGTGAATAGAAGAAGTCTAGAAATCAACCAACTTCCAAGGTTACTATTCATGACGAACTGATATCATTTGGAGAGCCATTATAAAACTGGGAGAAATGGTCAGGCGTTTCGTCTCAGTATAAGATTCCTCAGCAGAAATCATCCATGACCCCGCTCAGGATTGAACCCAGCATCATTAGGTCTCATAGTGACCAATTCATTACCACTGATTAACTTTCAATAATGACTCATTGATGGATTTTTCGGAAGTTCTGACGCCAAGGTATGACCTTTACAGAAATCCATGTCGGGAGTGAAGACGGATGCCCACCGATTGTAACATATGGTGGTCATGCTATTTCGCTAATAACCAGAAATGTGGATTGTTGCATTTTAACCCATCATAAGAACCGACCATCCTGAGTCCGATCACTTACAGAGTTTGATAAATATCCACTGCTCATAAGTTTCAAGCCTAAGCGACAACTCTTCCAGAAAAAAGTTTCTTATGTGCTTCCAAAAAGCCTTCAACATATGCTCACGTATTGTCCTGGTCAAGGTCCTGGTCCTGACCAACAATGGACTAGATGGTTTGAAAAAACTTGGGCACCCAGTTAGTATGATTCATTTTATAAGGTGTATTTTTACTTGTGTAATCCCAGCGTAGTATATTAGAACAAATAACAAAATAAACAAATATTTTGTGCATTATTCACCAACGTTTCGATCTTGCTAGGAAGATCCTTTACTTCATGAGTATGGATCTGACTGATATAAAGTTTTCAGGTTAATATTCAAGTTTTGTTACAGAAGGTGGTGACTTTTATAATCATCCAATTACATTGTGATATGGAGCAAAGATCCATGTAATGTGAATGAGTGAATGAGCAAATCGATCAGAAAGGCTTTTCTCCAGTTGTGCAGGTAAGGTGGAACAAAAATAGGGTGGGGAAGAAGGCAGACTGTAGTGAATATGATGCCACATACATTGGAGAGACATCATGTCAACTACTAACACGTCTAGGCGAACAGGGTCGAAATCTTGAGAAACCACTAAAAGTTCCTATGATCTAGAAAAACTTGAAAAAAGCTCTCACATCACTGCTCATCCCTTATATTCAGGTCATAAAATATCATTTGAACAAACGAAAGTCCTGCAAAAGGGTTTTCTTTCTCACAAAGACCGGACCATTGAAGAAGCTTTACACATCGATTGGTATCCTTCTTCGGTCAACAGAAAAGATGAGCTAGACATCCGACAAACATGGTGGCAAACATTAATGACTCTCACAGGCAGTTGTGAGGTAATATATGAAGAGAAGGTAGAACATAATTATTTCATTCCACATGATTTATTCCGAATTTACCCTTGTGTTGAATCGTTCCCGGTGTTATTTCGCCTAACTCTCTTAATCACAAAGAAATATTGGTTGTAATTTAACAACTTGTCTACTCCTATTACATAACACTAAAGTGTTATGTACTATTTTCATCAATTTAACGCTCGTTTCTGAGTTATATACATTCTATGAACCATTCCATATATTATATAAGCCATTTTGTTATCCTTCATACTTCAAGTGTTATGAAAAGTACCTTTATCGTGACCATAATCTATTCTTTCTCATCCTTTATGTCTCACAACCCCATTGTACTTTTTACAGATGAACTAAATTTCTCCACCCTATTTTTATTCCACCTTTCTCGCACAACTGGAGGAAAGCCTTTCTGATCGATTTGCTTATTCACTCACCCACATTACATTGATCATTACTCCATATCACAATTTAATTGGATGATTATAAAGGTCATCACCTTCTGTAACAGAACTTGAATATTAACCTGAAAACTTAAGGCCAGATTCAAACTCACTCTTGAAAAGAATGTTCCTAGCAAGATCGAAACTGTGAGGAACAATACAAAATATTTGTTCTAATATACTACGCTGGGATTATACAAGTAAAAATACATCTTATACAATGTATGTATTTCCTTGATGAAATACTACTGTCTCTTAATCCTAACCGATAGCTGCTATCACATCATTAACACAGAAGTCAAGTGAAGCAGTTTTTGGGGGAAGAGAGGAAACTCAGTTCATGTAGTTGTAAACTTTCATCAGTCTAGATGGCTGACTAGGACATATGTCACCGTTTCTCTTATATCACTATATTAGTCCAGCTAGGTTTAAGCTGGAAAGAGGCTCGGGATGAACAGAGGAAAACATGGCATCAATACACGAAGTCTTTGACTGTTGGTGTGAACCGTTTTTGGAAATGTTGGTTGTCGAGTTGGGGTCTGTGCGACAAGAGGAACTAATGTTTGGAGACTTTGGATGATATAGCGCTTTTACTGCGCTTTTACCTAGCTCATCTCTACTCCTTTATCTTTCTACTCATTGTTTTCTTGCTTGCTGTGGTTGTATAAGGCGTAGCAACTTGGGCCGTCATGTTATAATACCTGGACGCATACTGATATTCATGATGATATAATTTTCTGGAAGCTGATAGTTTGATTACTCTGGCATGTTGCAATTGTTCTCACATGATGGGGTAGACGGTGACTCAAGAAATGATTGAAGCGTACCAACTCATCAATTGATATTCCTCTTCTACTCAAAACTCTAAGCATTACTCATGAGGTCACACCACGATATGCGAACTTTGCTACGAAGCCAACAATTGTCAGTCACATGAAACCTACATATTACCTCTATCTTTAATGGCAATGTTTCCATAACCATATAGTAAAGCAGAAAGTGGACTGTTGTGTACTCCACTCGACCCTCAATAGCCAGTCAAATATCACTCTAGTGCCACAAATTGAGTTCCTGTTTACCGAAGTAATAATGATAGATGGTAGTTAGCAATGGAATCCAGGACGCACATTTCGGCCTATTTGGGACATATCAGCTATGTGTAATTGCCTCCCAGTGACCAATGTTCTTCCCAGTAGGACTCGAACTCTGGACCGAACGCTTCAATTACCAGAGAGTTTATCCACTAGACCACGGAGTTATCATAGCCATTTCTTATGAAAAACATTATAAGTCACAGTGATTGTCTATACGAAGGGATGGTTTTGGTGGTGTTATGTTCTCTGAGCTGGATGGTTTAAAAATACTGACCTCATATTGACCGATAGCTGCTACCTTGACGTGGTGGTCGGGCTTGCATATCACAATGACCCAACGAGCTATGCTGGTGGAACGCTTGTTCCCTCGAGGTCCTACCATGCCAGAAAGGTCTGTTGGATAGTGGTAAGACGAAAAGCAGTTACCGTTATAGTGTAAATTGCTACACTATGATGGGGGTCTGAGGGCGAAGTCGTACTGCTGTTAGCTGGATGGGGTGTGACAGCAGTAAGGTGTTTCCCTTGGATGACCAGCAGTGCCATGCTGATGCTGCCTTCTCAGTGGAAGGGGGGAGGGGGGGGGTTAGAAAAGGTCGGCCCCAAAAATAACACACTCCACCATGCCTCACGGTCTGCCGGGCCGGCGGTGTTGGTTCACTCGTCGTTTCCTTTCGACTATCCGGCCCCAAAAATACAAAAGTTCAAAATGATCATACTCAAAAGCCTGGGTGTGACAGGCCTCAAGCAGATGTTCGATGGGCTCTGCGGTCACACAAATCTTTTTCAGGTACCTTAAGAAGAAATAGCCTTCCACGGTGTGGGCAGCTGGGGAGTGTCAACCGCCCTCACAACTCTGTCAGCACCCAAGTTTCTTCTCATATTGACAGAAACTTTTAGAGAGAGAGAAGTAAATTGTAAGAATTTTTCCACTTTCTCTGGTGTCCTTGAGTATGATTAATTTTTTCTACCGTAATGTTGTTATTCTTGCTTCATTTATCTATCAAGTACATCAGTTTACTTCTCGTTCCCTTCCGCTTTTTGAACTTATTGTATAACTTTGTGATTTTCTATTCTGTTTCACTAATTTATTGTTGAGATACTTTTATTTAATAAATAATTTTGTATCGATTTCAGCCGTTAGGTTTATTATCATTTTTGGAATCGAATGAAGAACCTCCAGTGAAAGTTGTTAACATGTTACCTGATCGAGATAATTTACAACTGGCTCATGTGAGTTTCTTTCGTGTTTAGTGATGTTGTTTTGTTCTATATTCTTATATCCAATTTACTGTGTTCATCATCGTCTGTGTGTTTGTTTATGTGCATGTGTGTGTGTGTGTGAGTAGTTTTCTGATGAATATTAAACAGGCTTGTATATTTCTGCATAACTTCACGCTGAATACCCATTGCATAAGGAGTAGTTATCGTGACTCAATGGCCCTGATAAGTAACGCTCTCATGTTTGAAGTGATCACTTACGGGTTCAAGTCTCAGCGAGAACAACGCTGCTCACTAGAAGGCAGGTATATTCAACTGATGAGTCTCAGGTAGGACGAAACGCATGTTCCAGATTCCACTGTTAGCTGCACTATCCATCCTTCAGATAACAATCGAGAAAAAAATTGGCAATAATGAAACATTCGCAAAGGAGTTCATATGTCAATAATGACCTATCGATTCGGTCCAATCAACGATAAAGATTCACATCAATAAAATTCATAGTTTCTAAGTAGCTTAGAACTAATGACACCTAGTTGCTTGCTTTCAAACTTTCAACTTTTAGATGTGTGATGTTGGCCTGTTCTAACCTGATACCACTATATGACTGTGGTTCGACTGTATAACCAATAAAGTGTATAAGTGGTATATAAAGCGCGATTTCGTCAGTTACTGATGATCAGATGTTAGTTGAATGAAGGTAATCAGCAGAAAACCCTTCTTGACCTAGGTTTCTTGCTTTTTACCACTCGTCAGCAAGACATATCTGCAACTTCTATGGAACTGATGTTTGGACAGCAATTGACCTCTGGTAAGACTTGACTGGGTGTATGATTGGTCACTTGGGGCGATAAGAGAAACAAGGAGTATAGAAAGATAATGTAGGAGACAGGAGGTAAGTCAAATTGAAGTCGAACTCATCTCGAAACAAGAATATCGAGGAACCTATCCAATACAAGCTTGGCATTTTGTTTAGCGACAATGACAGACAGACAATGTCCTCTGTCCACCCAGCGTTTGGAGTTCAAGATTTTCTGCATGCATAACAAGGATTTAGGCGATGCAGAGAATGTGAAGAAATACAGTCTTCACTTTATAAATGACTTTAAACAAGATTTTTTGAGATTGGATAACTCCGTGTTCAGTTACACCACCCACCTCTTATCACTTTACCGTAATTTCTTTGTAACCAGGCAGGATAGTGGTGCTAAGCTGTTTTTGAATAACAGTCACATCGAACAACCTATATACCTGTTTCCACAAGTTCAAATGGATTGATATACACATATAGAAGTGTTCAGATGCATACGTTTTCTCTTCGAGTTATGAGAAATCATTAAGTGACAAGAAGAAAGGGGAATAGTAAATAAAGGTTAATGTAAAAAAAAATTCCCAATTCTTGAAGATATCTGAGATTATGTTTGTTTGTGATTTCAACTCATCTCACCAAGAGTCTCCAACATTTAATTCCTATTCTCTTGAATACCCCAGCTAGACAGTCTACACTTCCGTACATATGTCTCAAACCTATAATGAGAGAGACTTTATGGACTGGTGTCACGTGTTGGTGTGAACGCCTTGAATCTTCTTTCCACCAAGTCATATTTTGGTGAACACTACATGTTAAAGTAAGTGGTGGGTTAACATGTCCAACAAATATCTCAGTCCCCTCATTGACTTGCCTGTCTTGCCTAGTACTCATTGCTTATACGCTAGTTACACTATCTGTGAGCTATGTTTCAAAACCTGTAATCTGTTCACTAAGAGAACGTCATTCAACCTATGGATTTAGACTTTCTCAAACTACAATACCATGAAATAACAAAACTTGACTTGTGTATTTGTTTATCATTTCGACTACTTGAGATATAGCAGCTGTAGTATGGCGGACTAGTATTGATACTGAGTGATGATTGAAGGTGAAGTGAAAATTTGGACTGCCACTGGATTCGAACCAGCGACCACCGAGCCGGAAACCTGGTGTGTTTGTGCTTCCTAACTGTACTAAAAATATCTATTTAACCTTAAAGAAAAAACACTTCAATCCCACGTCAATCGACCATGCTAACTGATCATATATAAACTACATGTACATTGATCAGTAAACATTCCATGAATTGAATCGGATAATCATCTGGACTACGGAAAATCAAAATGCTCTTAGCAACGTCTTGCATATGTGTGCAGTAGACGACAATTCAACCACACCTATTGGTATATGTCCTAGCGAAACTTACTGCCCCTTTGCCCAAACCTTGGTAGGTGAAGCAGTGGTGTCCAAACTTGTCACCCACTAATTGAAAGCTAACTGCGTAAACGCATTAGACACAACTTCACTTCTCGACTGTATCATCATAGTTGAAACATTACATTTCAGAAAAGCTAACACTTTCTTATAGCTTTGAAAATAAACTGAACAATTTTCTCATGCCTTGGTATTGAATAAAATATACGTACAGACCACTTCACTAACCTGGGAAGTAGGATCAGCCCTGATGGCTCAGTGGCCGGTGAAATCTCTGCACCGATACAAAAGGCTCGATTGGCTTTCGCCAACTTACTCTACCTATGGCGCTGATGTGATATCCGATTGTCCATTAAGGGTCTCCTGTACTGCACAGCAGTCCACTCTCTTCTATTGTATGGCTGTGAAACATGGCCATTGAAGGTGGAAGACATGAGAAAGCTGGCTTCAGATGTTTGACCACCGTTGCCTTCGTAGTATAGGCCGTATTCCGTGGTGTCACCACGTGAGTAATGCAAAAGTCAGGAGTAGAGGTAAATCAGTTGACTACAAGGTTATGAACCTTCATCGACTGAGATTGCTAGGACACGTGTGACACATGCCTAGTCGCCGTCTGCCTCGTCACACCATGTTGGCCGAAGTAGAATCAAGCTAGAAAAAGGGCTGACGTGGTCAGACTGAAACATGGCATGACTGCATGAGTTGTTTGACCATTGGTTTGAGCCATGTAGAGGGGCGATGTAGACTAGTTGGTTGGTGTCTGTGGTAGAAGAGAAACGAGTGGTTGGAGACTGACTCTATGTGATCATGTAGCTGAGAACCGATGTCAGCGGTCCAGATGTATCACCACACCTATTATCATCCTCATCTTAACGACTCTATACCGAATCTCACCGTTTTATCATTCTTTCTTTCTCTCTTTTCGTACTTTTTATTTCTTCTGACTGCATTCTCTTATCTTCATCCTGCGTCTCACTACCTTTTTACTTGATGTACTGATGTGAGGTGTGTTGGGAAGTCGGACCGTTACGCATTTATGCCTGGTTCTACGTTGATCTGGATGCTGGATGTTTGGATGATGACAGACAGACGGAAGGTTGTGACGATAGGCAGTTCCTTTGTTCGCATATTTGCAGAAGTATTTCTTGCTGACATCCGACCACTTCACTTGGGAAGTTTCATCAGCCTCAAAGGTCTGGTTGCTGACGAAATCTCAGTTCGGACAGAGGTCGTTTGTTTGACATTTGCCTGTTTGCATTATATGTGACGATAGTTGGCAAGATATCCGACTGTCTATCAAAGAACGAGTATACTGCGCTCCAATTCGCTCTGTCCTGTTATATATAGCCGTGAGATCTGGTCGTTAAAAGTAGAAGAGATGAGGCGATTACTGCTTTTTAACCACCAGTTTCTTCTTATCATTGCTGGCGTTTGGTAGACGGAAGTGAACGGAAGTTACTAAACAAGATAGGCAAATCGATTGATAAGTTTGTGAATCTTCATCGTCTGACTTGGAAGTGTAATGTGCATGCTGATCTACCGCCTATCTAAAAGTATCACGCCAGAAAGAATAAGCAACAAGGAAATCTGGCCTGGCAACGAACCAACCAAGAATCTATCGCTCAACAAATGTGCAGGAGAAGAAAGTGGAGATGGATTGGTCATACACTGAGAAGGCCGACTGGGGACATCACGCGTCAGGTCTTCGAGTGGAATCCCCATGGCAAGCGACGAGTTGGGCGTCCGAGGGTGATATAGAGTAGATGATGTGTGGAAAAAATGAGATCTTGTGGGTAGTTGTGGAGCCAGGTTCAAAAGATTTCAGAGAACAGAGTGTAATGGAGACGTGTTGCTGAAGCCCTATGTTCCACTAGGAACCCAAGGGACAAATAATAATAATAGAGGAAGTTAATTAAGTTGGAAGAGAGTTCAAAGTGGCTAGGCTAAGTCGATGAAGTCTATATCTATTGGTTTAAACCATATAGATGAGGTGTAGACTGCTTGTTTTAGTTCCTCAAGACATAAGAAATCAATATTTCAAGACTCTTGCTGATGTAGCTGAGAATCGATGTCATTCTATTCTACAAATATTGACTTTAGTGTTAATGTGACTACATTTATAACAACATCAATGTGCCTGTAATCATTTACTTCTTACCACGATCATTAATAATCTCAGTTTCATTTAATGTTTATTGTTTTTAAAGGTTTATTTTAAAAAAAAGTTTACTTTTTATATAATTTCCGTGTATTTTTCTATATTCGAACTATTAAAGGAACATATGATGCGCATAGAAGAGCGTAAACAAACTATTTCTTACCAGTTGGAAACTAAAATAGATGATCTACTTACTCATTGGCGACTACGAGTTGGTCTTCCTATCCCAAAGGTTGGTTGGTTTACTTTATTTTCAAAGCGGTTCACTTAACTATATAAAATGTCTTGGTTTTATTGTGTTCTCTGAGGAGATGGGTTGTTTAATCGTGAAGCTTTCACCGTCTTTCTAGACAGAGACATCATCAGCACTAACTTCAGTATGAAGTGAGTTGTCAATATCTCTCCATGAGTGATTTGTAGTTTACCATGACCAACTGATTTGTGATTGGTTGTTTCCTTTGATTGTTGTGTCATTGATTGACTGCATAGATTTTCCTATTGGCTGTTCTTCTACTTCACTTCTGACCCTTCCGCACGTTTATCCCCTTTTCTCATTGGTTGATAGATCAGGTCTGTGTCGATACATCCATTGATTGGTGACTGACTGACTGATCTGAATGCCAAGCTTTATAGGATTCTCTAATGATATTATTTGTGCATTTTTGAGATGAATGGGGATTTTTAATTTAGAAGTAGTATTCATCATGGACTGACATCAGTTGGGGAACCATTGGAAATCTGGGAGCATTGGACAGCTGTTTCGTCCAACTGGTATGGGACTACTCAGCAGTACATATCCACGACGAGGCTAGGGGTCGACTCAGGACCTTCCGGTTTCACGGCGAATGCGTTAACCATTCAGCCACTGGGTCGGTTTCCAGTGGTTCACAATTTCCAATTTCTGTCAATTCATGATACTGCGCGACTATCACCCCAAGTTCTTCAGTTAGCATCCACTTCACTCCCTACTGGTTGACCCCACAGGTGACGGCTTCTCATTACACCTTCCTTATGTCCATCTGGAAGCAAGTCACTAATGATCACTATAGAGTAATATATTTTTTGAGATGAATGGGAATTTTTAGTTTAGAAGGACGAAGCAGCCGTCCAGTGCTCTCAGATTTTCAATGGTTCCCCAGCTGATGTCAATCCATGATGAATACTACTGCTAAATTAAAACAAAAATCCCCATTCATCTGAAAAATACATTACTGTATAGGGCTCATTAGTGACCTGCTTCCAGATGGATATCAGGAAGGTGTAATGAGAAGCCGTGAAGTGTAGGGTCAACCAGTCGGAAGTGAAGTGGATGCTAACTGATGATATTCTTTGTGTTTCCTCTCCCGTCAAAGATCTCTACATGGTCAAAATTGAATTCATCTCCATAGTTGTTATCCACATGGATTGAGCGACGAGTGATGACATGTTGTGTGTGGCGTTTGATAGCCAATTGGTGTTCATGTAGACGAAGGTGAAGGTGGGGCGACCATTTTGTCCAATGTGATGTATTGACTACAGTTATTCCAATTGATTTTGTAAATGATATTCGGTTCGTCTTTGGTCTTTGGTTGTTGTATCCTTTGGTGCCGATAATGTGGCTTGGAGGGAATTTGTTAGTTGATGAGTGACCACACTAATTCCACCAAGTGGTCCCATTAATCTTGTTGTGATTTCTAACAGGGTCTTTATGTGTGGTAGGATGATGCGTTTATTGATTTCTGTAGATGACTATGTAGTTGATGATGTAGGGGATAGGCATCTTCTGATAAAGGTTGTTGGGTAGCCGTTCTTTATGATAGACATCAAGTGATTTTCTTCGTTTCTCCGTGAAGTTGTTGTGCTGTAGTGTAGTGTGTTTCGCTCTTTTGAATAGAGTCTGCATGCAACTGACTTTGTGTGTTGTTGGATTTCTGCTACTGTAGCTGAGGATTTAATCAGTCGGTGTGTGTTGGCTTGTTGTACACATGGGTTTCCAACTTTCCAGTATTTGTCCTAGTGCTGATGATGTCGTCTAGAAAGACGATGTAAGCTTCACGATTAAACAACCCAGCTCCTCAGAGAACACAATGCAACCGAGAATGCTAACTGTTATTTTTTGTGTTGTACACATCGAAGGTAAGATGTATACTCTTTTGTTTTGTTTTCTTAGTGAGTGAGTGAAATGATTTCACATTTTGTTTGCTTGTTATATTTCCCCTTCTTACACCCTCTTCCCCTAATTAATAGCAACTTACTAAGCAGAATCATTTGAAAGAAGCTGAAGAACGTCCTGTTGTGCTTCGTCGACCCCGACACCTATTACAATCGTTACGCGGTGATTCAGATCAACGTAAACCTATAACTAATTGGCGTTTGTTTTTCTATCAATTTCAACAAGATCATGCTAAAGCTGATTTAATCTGGACGATACGCGTAAGTTGTCGATATTTATCCATTTAGCTTTTTTCCTTTGCCTTCGGTTAACCTTCATGTGCGTCTGTGTATGTGTGTTTTTGTCTAACTATCAGACAGGAGTACAGATGATTTACTTGGTGGTAGCTATCAGTGGAATCGATGACACATCTTTCGTCTTTCTAAGGACTTGTTAGCTGAATGTACCTGCACCCTAGTGAGTGATGTTGTTCACACCTAGACTCGAACCCAGTACCCATCGCTCCAACCATCAAAGCGTTATCCATTGGGTCATGAAAGCCGCCTCTTATGGGACGGGTTTGAGTCACAATGGGAGCAACATAACTTACTAGGGTGCAGGTACATCTAGTTGACGAGTCCCAAATAGGATGAAACGGGGAATTACAACTATCAATTAGGAATAGTGATAGTTATTTACTAATCCTAGCGTTTTTGCTGATCCCCTATGATGTGGATGCTATGTAATGGCGTTCAGTCTTTTTATTTTTCCGCCTAACACCGATACAAGTGAAGTTTCACCTTGCTATGATTTGAATAAGGTATATGCTGGTTAGAATTGCAGAAGTCATCTCCATTAAGTTTATCCTTACAGTTGAGAAGGTGATACCTCTTCAGTAGAGATAGCGGCGAGTGTCAGGCCTTGGTTTTTCAGCTAAGACCAGTTATATCTCACACTCATCACGCAACTATGACCAACCTTCCTCTCACCGTGGTTAGGGCGATAACACTCAGGCATTTCAGCCTTTACTGTCTGTGTGGTTAGCAGACAACTGACCAGGTTTAGCAGTTAAACAGTGACTGTTTCTGAATACCTTATTCTGCAGTCTGGAGGGATTGGTACAATCTTCATCGCTTTGAACGTTCGATAGCGACCTCTGGTTCAGTAACCATTGACCTGCAACCTATACCACAGATACTGGCAGACACGTCAGCCAACTCGATCCTGTCAGCACTTCTGGTACGTAGCCCACGTGCATCGTGAGAAGCACACTATTACGTCATCTTTAAAGTATCCAAAAGCATTTCACTCTGAACTTACAGGTTATGTACCTCCAAGGTCTATGAACTTCTAGTTAGCTCACGTTAAACGGGCTGCTTTACGTCTAAACGCTAGAGCTGAACGGAAAGATCTCATAAGTTGGTTAGCAGGTTGATATCTGCTTAGCAGCGGGAACCTTGTGAAGGTCCACCATCGTATGTAAATTAGCTCTACTCGTAATCCCTAGCTTTCACGAGCCAGCAGCACAAACCCCAGCATCACTTAATCGTGCCTTGTAGTGCTCCCTCACGTTGACATCCTAACATGTAACTACGGAGTTAGAGAGTAGTAGTAGTTACTTCCTTGTTTCCATGAGGGTTTTCTAGATACAAGCTATTTCAGTTTTCTAGGTTTTCCTCAGTTTACCAGATCAAGCAGACGTCACTGCCCATACGGATGGCTTCTAATTAGGCACACTGCTATGCAGTTCTACTAACGGGTATCTACCCTTACCTCAGCTTTCTACATAATTGAACTAATTGGAGTCTGTCATTCTACATTCAGCTAAACTCCAATGTTCCACTAATCTAACTGACCCCTACCGGCTAGTTTGACGCATGTACTTGATCCAGATTACAGTGATTACATGGAATTTGATAGATGAGATTATTTTGCTTAATTGGTTCTATCGGATCCTTAAGCCAGCCGACAAAGCTTATCTCTGTGTGAGTTTGTGAATTGAAATACCACTCTAATTCCAGCCTTGTTAAGGATCCTACGTAAAGTTTCTTATTTACCTTCTTTATAGGGTAACACAATGGAGGCTGTTATCTTTTTACACGTGTGACTATTATTATTTCGTTTCTTTTGTGTTTGTACGAATTTCTTAATAAACTGTAGAAGATAATTATTGACTATGTGCCCTTCTTTTATGTGTTCCAGTTCTTTGTTTAGGTTCTTGTTCTGACTAGTCAGTTTTCTAACTGTATCACTTACACATTTGACTGGATATGTCTTCACTGACTGACATTGGATGAGATGACTTGAAGTCTAGGTACCTGTTGAAATGTGTCGGTTTTCTGTAGACAGTAACATCCAAACCACCGTCTGTACTTCGTTTTATCTTGCAATCCTGCATAGGTAATTCTCCTTGTTCATTTTCTACCTACTCATAGGTGAATTGGATTGCGTCTACTACTGAATTTATTCGTATGAGGATGTAGATGTGTTCCGATTTCAACACAATGAATGTCATCCACATATCGCGGATATATGAGGTAGAAAATGAACAAGGAGAATTATCTAAATTGGATTGCAAGATGAAACGAAGTACAGACGGTGGTTTACATGTTACCGTCTACAGAAAACCGACACATTCCAACAGGCACCTAGACTTCAAGTCATCTCATCCAGTGTCAGTCAGTGAAGACATATCTAGTCAAATGTCAAGATGATAGAGCTAGGAAACTCATTAGCCAGTATACAATGATCTTAACAAAGAACTGGAACACATAAAAGAAGCACCAATGGGTAATAAGTATCCTCTACAGTTCAGTAAGAAATTCATACGAACACACAAGAGACGAAGGGATCACAGTAACACGAGTATGAATAATAACGACAACACAAGTAGGAAGGAGTTGACAGTCTCCATTGTGTTACCATACAAGGAATGTACATCACAAAGTTTACCTAGGATTCTCAACAATTTTGGAATTGGGAGTGGCATATAAACTTACAAAGCCACTCAGAGCTAACCACCTTTGTCTTCTGACAGAATCAATTGAGTAAAACAACCTAATCTGTCACATTTGATGTAATGACTGTGAGTCAGGTCAAGTATATATAGGTGAAACTAGCTTGTGTTCCAGTTCTTTGTTAAGATCATTATATACTGGCTAATGAGTTTCTTAGCTCTATCATCTTGACATTTGACTAGACATGCATTGCTAACATTGGGTGAGATGACTTGATGTCTAGATACTTGTTGGAAAGTGTTGGGTTCCTGTAGACGGTGAGCAGTATCCAAACCACCGACGTCTATCCTTCGTTTCATCCTGCAATCCAACATAGGTAATTCTTCTCATTCATTTTCTATCTCCTCGTAAGTCAATTGGATTACGTCTACTACTGAGTTTCTGTGTACAAGGGAATTGTCGATATGTTTCGATTACAAAACAGTAGTAAATGTGTCATCCACATATCACCACTATATCTTAGACGGAGTAATAAACTCTTGTAATGTCATGTTTCCCCAACTATCCATAAATATATATCTGCTACGATTGATGATACTGGTGTTCCCATTGATACCCACTCCTTTTGTTTGTCTGTATATTTTGTCCTGAAACTTGAAGATTGTAGAGGTCAGCCATAAGTCTACGCTTAATATGATCTCATCAGCCGACACCTCAGTTGTGTAAGTTCTGAGTCAATATTTAGTTGACTTCTGACTGCCTCCAGTGTCGTATTGATTAGTATTTCAGCATAAAGACTAGTTACATTGAAGCTAATAATTTTTTCATCCTATTCTATATATGTAGGTCATTCAGTCTTGTAAGAGTTAAGTAGTCTGTAATGGGAACGGTTCTTAGTAAGATCTGAATCTTTGTTCATTGAATCAACACGCAACCCAACACATTTACTAGGAATGATGCAACACCTATACCAGAGATATGGAAAAACATTGAGTACCAATAAAAATAAAGAATATAGTGTGGGTGGTAGTGTAGTGAGCGTTGCTGATAATAATAGATATAAGTAGTATATGTTGAGAAGGTGGCAGGAATCATAGGGAATTACCAGCATTGGGTGAGGTTTCTGTTAAGAGCAACGAAAGGGATAACGCAGGCTTATAACAGTGGATGCTGCTGATAAGAATGTATGAAAAGCAAATCAAGAGAGGAACAGAAGAGGAAACGAAGCATATTTGCAAATGACTGGGTTAGTGCAAGGTGTACCACATGTAATGACTACGGTTCCGATTGTCGACAAAGGACGCCGTGTTTGTCTTCTGTCTCTTCATTAAGATATAAAATCCAGTTGTAAAGTTGAAGCTCAAATGCTTGAGCACTTGTGTATGGGTTAAAGCTATGCTCCATCTTATTCAACCTCAACAACCGGGTAGTAATATAAGCTCTTACTGTATAAAGTAATGATGGGCAGTGGCTAGCAGTGGAGTCCAGGATGCGCATTTCGTCAAATTTGAGACTCACTGGTCAGCTGGATGTACCTGCCTCCCAGTGCCGAGTGGTTTTGTCCCCACCGGGATTCGAACTCGGGAGCGATCGCTTCAAATACCAGAGCGTTATCCACTGCACCACCGAGCCACGACAGCCACTTCTTGTGCAACGGCTATAGTTTGTGTTATTGCTTGTACTACACAGTCGTTGATTGGACCGAATTGATCAGTCTCTATTGGCATATGGGCTCATGTGCGGATGCCTCGATATTACCTGTCTTTTAACTATGTATAGTAATGATGTAGTGTATAACTCTCTGGCGTTTGAAGCGATCGCTCCCGAGTCCGAGTCCCGGTGGGAACAACACTCACTGAGAAGCAAGTACATCCAGCTGACTAGTGAGTCCCAAATAGGACGAAATGCGCATCCCGGAATCCACTGCTAGCCACTGCCGGTCATTACTATACATAGTTAAAAGACAGACAATATCGAGGCATCCGCATAGGAGCCCATGTGCCAACAGAGACTGATCAATCGACGACGTTGTAATACAAGCAATAGCACTAATTTGCCTACATACTTTGATCAATTGTAAAGACTTAGGATATGACACACACATATACACACATTGGTTATAATCAGCTAGTCACCTAGTGTGTACACCTATAGCCTATTACTAATTTCTTGTTGGCATAAGTATTCCAGTTGCATGTTAACACAAGTAAGGATATAGGAAAGTGAAAGGAATTATAGTATTATATTAGCTAGTTGTAAAAATGACAAAGAAATAATGATGTATGATATTATTTTGGGGAGGTTTTTGATTCGTGATCATAGAGATGTCTTCATAGTATATTATATACCTGGTGACAAATATACATGTGTCAAACGTGTAACTTAGCGTTACGCTATCGAAAGAAGTAATCGAATCAGTTGATAAAGTTGTGAATTTTCCCTACTTCATCATGTAATGTTAACTAACAAAGATGGATTGGGTTAGAAAAAAGCTAAAGATGTGGTCAAATCAAGATGTGAAACAAATCCATGAAATTCCTGGTAGTTAGTTTTAACCGTGTCAAATAATGTAGGCTGGTCGGCTAGGTGTTTTAGGATAGTGTGAACCAATTGTCGATGATTCTAAGTTATACAGCTGAAAATCAACCATAGTAACGTTGTTGTTGTTGTTGTTGTTGTTGTTGTTGTTTTATACACCGCTTTTAACCCCTGAACACTTTCACTGAATGTCATAGCCGTTTTTGGCAGACTTGTATTGTTGATACTGGGTGATTATTGATGGTGAAACGAAAAACTTAGGCCTTGATAGGACTTGAACTAGTTACCTGAAGATTGAATCCAGGACCTTCAGGTTGGGTAGTCAGTCTGTTACCATTGAACCGAGGGTTTTGTTTGGCTGACATGTAACTACATGGGAATGAATTCCCCATTCATCTCAATCACACTATTTGCCCAGCCAAAACTTAATGTCATCTTAATTCAAATCGAAGTTTATCATGGGAGGGGGTCGGGAATCGTTTTGATTACTGGTAGGATTGTTTGATATTGATGTGGTGAAGACTGAGCCAGCAACCGGTTGAACCATTGACCGGTAATCTAGAGACCTGTGGTTCAATTTCTGCAACAACTCAGATTAGTTTTCACTGACTTTTATCATATTACACTCTTTTCTGGCATACATTTTGTTAATGATGGATCGTGGCTAGCAGTGGAATCCAGGATGCGCATTTCGTCCTATTTAGGACTCACCAGCCGGATGTGTCTGCCTCTCAGTGAGTGTTGTTCCCACCGGGACTCGGACCCGGGAGCGACCGCTTTAAACGCGAGAGCGTTATACAACACACTATCCACTGCTGGCAACGATCATTAATGTATTTACAACGGAGGCTATATTGAGGCATCCGCATAGGAGCCCATATGCCAATTGAGATCGATCAATTCGGTCCAATCAATGACGTGTAGTACAAGCAATAACACTTACACTTTTGTAAGTAATGACATCTTACTCCTCCTCATCACTTCTTCCTTCTCTGCTGATGTAAAGTGTGACAACTTGAACTGATGCTGAAATTATTGATTACCTTCCATTATTATTTTTTTTGTTACCATTTTATAAAATATAGACAAGAAATGAATTACGTGAAACTGTAGAGAAGGAATTACATGAATTTCAACAAGAACGTAATTATTTTGCACAAAATCGATTAGAAGAATCAGATTATGCAGATATTGATCGATCAGAACCTGTTGGACCTGGTCAACCTGAAAGAATATTTCCAACTGGTTTAACAAGTAGAGCTCAGAGTACACCGGATATTTGTAGTTCTAATAATGGTGATGCAGGACTAGATAATAATGCTATTGATAAAAATTCTCCTAATAGTAGTCAGTCGCCTCAAACTAATGAACAAACTTCAGAGAAGCATTATTTGAAAAAACTTGATGATACAGATTTACAATTAAATCAGTCAAAAATACACAGTAATGATAATGGTTATGCACAGACTATGTCACGATCCTCTAATCTTAACCGACGTGCACGAATGTCATCGAGTCCAACTAGAATACAAGCTGATCGACTAATCAATCAGGTGAGTCTGTCAATATAAGTTTTCTCTATATATATAAATATTTCGCTTACTGATGTTCCGGTGGATGAAATGCCCGTTGGATAAAGTACGAATTTTTATGTTTCCGCTAAGCTATGTGAATGCCTGTATTTTGGGCTAGCAGTGAAATCCAGGATGCATGTTTCGTCCTACTTGGGACTCATCACCTGTATGAAACTACACCTACCTCGGAGACTGAAGTAATAAGTACGAGGTTCTAGTCTCCGTGGGAACAACATCACTACGAAATAGGGGGCAGGTACCTTATTATAATTAATATTCAGATAATAACGAGGTAACCGTATAACAGCCCATATGCCAATAATTATTCATTTATTATTTTTCCTTTGGGTTCCTAGCGGAACATACAGGAATTCAGTAGCAAGCCTACATTCCACTCTCTTCTCTCAAGTATTTTCAACCTGGCACCACAACTGCCTACAAGCTTTCATTTCTTCCTCACATCATCTCCTCTATGTCAACCTCAACTCGGACACCCAACTCGTCGTTTCCCCTTTGGATTCCACTCGATGGTCTGGCCTCACGCCTGATGTCACCAATCCACCTTCTCACTGTATGCCCAATCCAATCCAATCCAATCCATCTCCTTTTTATTCCAGTGCATTTTTCTTCAGCGATAGCTTCTTGCCTCGTTGGTTCCTTCCCAGAGTTCCTCCTTACTTATTCTTTCTGACCATCTGATCTGATCTTCAGTATTGAGTGAGTGTAAGGGGCAGTTGTTGATGATGTATGTCTGTAGTTTGTTGGAAATGATTTTCGTGACACACCAAGTCTCCGCATGACTTGACTGAATTGGTGTTGAAAATCCGGATATTGTCCACGGTTTATGCTGAGTACAGTAGATCTCGTCACTGATTTCAGATTAGTGAAGGAAGGCCTGTCTTTTTGTCTTTCCGATCCTGGTTTCGACATTCTCGTCTGTGCCGTCACATCTAAGTGAAATGATGCTGCCTAGATAGATGAAAGAGACAACTTGTTTTAGGTTTCTGCTGTTGATGGTGATTAGTGCTTGTTGTTGATGCTGTTGTTGGTTGTTTGGGTATCATCATCACCTCCGTCTTCTCTACATTCACTTGAAGTGCCGTGTTTACTGCCCTGCCTGTTCTGTCAACTTGTTAGTTTTCGTCTGTAGATCTTTGAGTTTGTGCGATAAGACATTAGACATAAATGATCATCGCGAAATCCAAATTTTCTAAGGTCTTTACATCGGTCCGATATGCCAATAAAGGTCGAACAGTTCGATCTAGTATAATAACGAAGAATTATAACCGTTGTGTGAAATATACTTATCAGGATATGAAAGAAGGAACAAGTATATTTCAGAGATTTTCGTTTTTAAAGCTTTACACAATCGCAATTTTTTACATTTTTCTAGTGTAATGATTTGATAGTTGACAACGGTTTCTCAAGCATGGCAGGCAACACAAATAGTAGCCAATATTAGTCAAAATAAGTTTGAACAAGAAGATGTATCGTGTCATGATGACATAATTGGAAAGTGAATTGTGATCAGATAGAGCATAGTAACAAGAATGAATAGCAAATTACTTAAGAAGTGGATTATGTTAAATTAGAAAAATGAAAAGAAAAGGTGGGTGGGTTGGGGATAGAGGAGACTGAAAAGTAAGATGATGAAAGGAGAAGAAATTGAACAATCTTCTTTAAAGTACTTAGTTCAGGCTTCTCTATATGGATGATAAAAGCTTCGACAATGCATAGAACACGAAGATATACAACCTGTGAAAGGTTTCTTTTCACTTTTCAGATGACTTGAATGAGAACGTTCTTGACATAGCGTGATTCGTGTTCATGATGTGTTCAATTATAGCACTCCTTATCACTGCATTGTTACCTCTTTGTAACCACAGAAGATAATGTTCTTCAACCCTTTTGGATAACAGTCGCACCGAACGGCCTATATACCTGGTTCGACAAGATTAGGTGAATTAATATATGCGCACATTACAACCATATCAATAAGTAGTAATAATCGCTTTATTCCAAACAACATATATGACATATTATGACATTTCCATCAGGTATCTTTCAACTACAGGTGACGGCACAGACGAAACTGTCGAAACCAGGATGAGAAAGACAGAAAGACAGGCCTTCCTTCACTAATCTGAAATCAGTGAGGAGATCTACTGTACTCAGCATAAACCGTGGACAATATCCGGATTTTCAACACCAATTCAGTCAAGTCATGCGGAGACTTGGTGTGTCACGAAAATCATTTCCAACAAACTACAGACATACATCATCAACAACTGCCCCTTACACTCACTCAATACTGAAGATCAGATCAGATGGTCAGAAAGAATAAGTAAGGAGGAAATCTGGGAACGAACCAACGAGGCAAGAAGCTATCGCTGAAGAAAAATGCACTGGAATAAAGTGGAGATGGATTGGATTGGATTGGGCATACAGTGAGAAGGTGGATTGGTGACATCAGGCGTGAGGCCAGACCATCGAGTGGAATCCAAAGGGGAAACGACGAGTTGGGTGTCCGAGTTGAGGTTGACATAGAGGAGATGATGTGAGGAAGAAATGAAAGCTTGTAGGCAGTTGTGGTGCCAGGTTGAAAATACTTGAGAGAAGAGAGTGGAATGTAGGCTTGCTACTGAATTCCTGTATGTTCCACTAGAAACCCATGGGGAAAAAAAATAATGGTACACGCGACCCTACTAAGTACGTGTGCGCCGCTGAAGAATTCCATACTATGGTGAAACAGCTAACCAGTAATCTTTGTCTTTTAGTAGGTATCTGATTGATATCACTTCATGATGAATACCTTCTTGAAAGCAATCAAATCCCCACAAATCTCCAAACTGAATTACTACCTAACATTCATTGGTATCATTCTTCAAGATGGATTTCTCGAAGTTCTTTATGGGAGCTTTGAAATGAAAGAAATCAATGAAATAGGGGTATAAGGAGAATTACTAGTCGTGAACGTATTGCATAATAGTTGTACTATATCGTGACATGATAATAGTAGGAGAGTGAATCCTTGATAAGATCATGAGTCTTATTACTTGGACGAAACAAACAGTCTAATGCTTCCAGGTTTTTTGTGATTCTCCAACTGATATCACTCTGTTATGTATACCACCTTGAAGCGATAAAATTTCTCTTGTGCATTCATTCTCATAATGTAACACTAGTCATAACTTCAATGTTTATCTTTTCATCAATATTTTTCGTTACCTATTGATATGATTGTATTCTTTTCTATTTTATTATAACAGGCAAGTCTAGTTTCATGGAATCATAGAGAATTTAAAGTTCACTATCCAAGTTTAGCTGAAGAACCTCGTGTTGGTAACTATTTCTTACGTTTACTCTTAGAAGAGGATAGACATATGAATGAAGTGATTGATGCTACTACACTTACTGCTGATAGTTCAACTGATTCTCACTTCATCGGTCTTTCACGTATTCGTGATAGGTAAGTAATAAAATAATGAGGATAAATATTATTACTTATGATCACCTTATTGGATCGATCAAAAGACCCTAGAACATTTGGATTTCGCTCATGATGATTTATGTCTAATGTTGCATAAGCTCGAAGATCTACAGGCGAAAACCAACAAGTTGGCAGAAGAGGCAGGGTAGCGAAGACGGTACCGCCTTCAGGTGAACGTAGAGAAGGCGATAGAGGTAATGAAGATACCCAACTACTAACAACACCTACCTACCTACCTACCTACCTACCTACCACCCCACACCTACCTACCTACCTACCTACCTACCTACCTACCACCCCACACCTACCTACCTACCTACCTACCTACCTACCTACCTACCTACCTACCTAACCAAATAACTAACTAACTACGCAGCATCGTTCAAACTGTAAGTGGTGGTGTTGGCACAGATGAGGATGCGGAAGCTAGGATCGGAAAGACAGCAAAACAGGCTTTTCTTCATCAGTCTGCGGAGATCAGTGTGGAGATCTAGTGCACTGCACTGCAGTCAGCGTAAAGTGTGAACAATATCCAGATATTCAAGACTAATTCAGTCAAGTAAGTCAGTACTTGTATGTGATGGTTGAGAGAGCTGGCGTGTTTCGAAAAGCATTTGGAACAAACTGCAGACACATACATGAAGAGCTGCTGCTTAAACACGCTCGCTTGATACTGAAGATGAGATGAGATGAGATGGGTAGCCAGAAAGAATAAGTGAGGAGGAACTGTGGCTGGCTGGCTGGCTGGCTGGCTGGCTGGCTGGCTGGCTGGCTGGCTGGCTGGCTGGCTGGCTGGCTGGCTGGCTGGCTGGCTGGCTGGCTGGCTGGCTGGCTGGCTGGCTGGCTGGCTGGCTGGCTGGCTGGCTGGCTGGCTGGCTGGCTGGCTGGCTGGCTGGCTGGCTGGCTGGCTGGCAACGAACCAATGAAGTAAGAATCTATCTGCTGACAAATATGCACAGGAAGAGAGAGTGAAGATGGAGATGGATTAGGAATACACTGAGAAAACCATCTGAGGACATCACGCGCGTGACCAGGTCGTTGAGTGGAATCTAAGTGGGATTGGAGGAGTTGGGCGTCGGAGGCTATGATGACATGGAGTAGATGGTGTGAGGTAGAAATGAAAGGTTATGGGCAAAGGTTGAGCCCGGTTGAGAAGACTGGCTGCATGCTACTGAAGCCCTGTATGTTCTACTAGGAACCCAAACGACAGATAAATAAAATAAATAATACTTATCGGATGATGTTATACATTGATGAGTAACTTCACACTTGTTAATCTATGCTATTTTTGATGAAGACTTCTTTTATACAGTTTCCCTTTTATATCTTTTTCAAATTTTATTTTAAGCACTGCCTTTTTCAATGAATTATTTCGACGTTATCTACAGTATGTTGCCTCTGGTCCATTTTATCCATTTCAAACTACTTCTATAAAATACAATGCTAGCGGAGGAGATCATAATAATATGACACCGAATTTACTTCGACGTTTAACAATGCGATGTTTATGCTTACATGCTATGTCAGTTGTTTATAGTCGATGTCATCATGAAATTGGTCCAGTATCAGATATACCATTATTGATTTATTTACTAGATCGTACAACATTTGCTGTTGAAAGAGACTGTCTTCTTCTACTGTTAGACAAACTTATGTTGAATAAGGTGAGTTGTTTACACACGTACGTGTGTGTGTGTATGTATGTATGTTTGTACATTTAGATGGTCAAAATGTTGAATCATCCCGTTGGTAATTACACTTTCCGGTTTAGATTGATCATTAACTATGCAGTCCACTTTCATTGATTTCATCATCATCATCATTATCAACATAGGACCAGACATTACTGCGTAACGGTCCGAGTTGCCACACCTCATATCAGCACATCAAGTAAAAAGGTTGTGAGGTGAAGGATGAAGATAAGTGAATGCAGTCAAAAGAAATATAAAATACGAGAAGAAAGGAAAGAGGAGTGACAAAATAGTGAGATTCGGTATAGCGTTGTTAAGATGAGGATAATGTGTGTATACATCTGCGCCACTGACTTCGATTCTGAGCCATATCACCTAGGGTCTCCAACCACTGGTTCCTCTTGTCCCGTGGACCGCAACCACCTAGTCTGCATCGTCCTACATGGCTTAAACCAACAGTCAGAGACTTCATACATTGGTGCCATGTTTTAGTCTACTCTACACCTAACTTCTGCATTACTCACGTGGTGACACCACGGAATACGTCCTATACTACGAAGACAACGGTTGTCAAACACCTGAAGCCTTTTTGTATATTTATACAGTAAATACTGATAAAGTTGTCTAGCCTGTTGATGAAACGTTAAAGAACAAAAGTTTATCACCATCTGAGTTGAAAAAGAATTTGTGACCGTTGGACCCATATAAGTTCTATTTGAAGAGAGAGTTACTCAGTGTCGATATTGGATATAGGTTGCGCTATATCATGATTCCGATATAATAGTTTACAAGGTAACGTGGATGTCATAGAACCTGAAAGTGCCGGGTTCGATTCTTTCATACGTGAAAGAAACAGCTGTCCAGAGCTCCTCGATCTTCAACTGATGTCATTCCATAATTAAATATCAACCTGAAGTTATCATCATCAGCATTAGCCTTGTCTAGTACAGTGACTACTCTGAATTATTTTGGATGGAACAACAAAGTTTGTTACACATCACTTTGTTTTCTCTCCTTGGATCGAGTATACAGAATAGTAGAAGTTAGTAGTTAGGAAATTATGTAGTTTTATCAGTCAAATCAATCAATATCAACATAGGACCAGGCATTACTGCATAACGGTCCGACTTCCCACCACACCTCATATCAGTACATCGAGTAGAAAGGTAGTGAGGTGAAGGATGAAGATAAGAGAATGCAATCAAAAGAAATATGAAGTACGAGAAGAAAGAAAGGAAAAATGAGAGAATGGTGAGATTGGATATATTGACTTAAAGATGAGGGTAGTGTGTGTGGGGATACATCTGCTCCAGTGACATTGGTTCTCAGCCATGTGACCGTGTAAAGTCTCCTAGCACTGGTTCCTGTTGTCCCGCGGACCCCAACCGGCTTGTCTACACCGCCCCATTTGCATGGCTGAAACCAACAGTTAGAGACTTCATACATTGATGCCATGTTTTAGTGTCACCACCTCCGGTCTTTTTTCAGCCTCGACCTACTTCAGCCAACATTGTGTGACAAGGCAATCGGTGACTGGGCATACGTAGTACGTGTCCCAACCATTTCAGTCGATGAAGGTTCACAACTGTGTCAATTGATTTACCTCTACTCCCTAAAACTCTACACCTGACGTGGTAACACTACGGAATACGGCCAATTTTATCAGTCGCTAATAGTCGGTAACGATGCAATGACTTGATACATTCATCATTAACTTGTGCCATGAGTCAGTAGTTTAGCAAAGCTGATGTGTTTATTTCCAGTAAGATATACTTTACATACCTGTATACTAATGTTCTTTCTTGAAATGAATATATCAATACTGACAGTTTTCTGGGGAAAAAATATTCCTTTCATTATGTCACAGACAACCCCGATTAGTTAGTAAATACGGTCGATGAGAATAGACGTCAACATATATCTGTCAGTGTATTAGCCCGGTTGGTGAATTGCTTCCACATTCAACACCAGGTAGACTGTTTCGAGGCTGTGGAAAATTCCATATTATTATTAGTATTATGTGTCCTTTGGCTTCCTAGTGGAACATACAGCTTCAGTAGCACGTCTCCATTACACTGTCTTCTCTTCAGTCTTTTCAACATGATCTTCTTCATGTCACTCTTGAATGCCCAACTCGCCCATTCCCCTATAAGATCCACTCGAATGCCTAGCCTGTATATTCTACTAGGAGGAACCTAAAGTGCACATAGTAATAGCTCTTAGCTGGTTATCTGGTTTTACCATTTGCACTTATAGATCATTAATATGTGATAACCTACAATTTGGGAAAATTTAACATATGTTCCCATAGAGAGATGATCATGTTATCCAATTTGATGCTCCTCGAAGTTTGAATGCTACGGTATGCTTAATTTGACAACTTATGAATACAAGTAATAGCTCCTTTGTCTTCTTGATATTTAGAATATTTTCAGGAGTTACACTCCTTATTCACTATGCTATAATCTGTTGTTTTTCTTATTCTTTCAGGGTAATGTCATGTCATTTGTAGATGCAGATGGTGTACGTGTTTTAATTGATTTAGCATGTTTAGCGCATTTACATACTAATCGTGCACCTACACCATTTCAATCGAATGTTTTAAAGGCTAGTTCAGAACAAGAAATTTTAGATTCTGGTGCAAATACACAACGTGAATGGTGGTATTTGAATTCAACCAATATTAATCGAAATACTATTCATAATACTTCAATACAAGGTGGCAGTAATAAGTCTGGATCTAATCCTATTCATGGTCCAGTTAGCTTTAATGAGGTATATATTCTTTTTTAAAGTAAATAAGAGTAATATGTGAAGTAGAACAGTATGAATAGTATTCTAACTTTGAATAATTCTTACCTACTATACCACTTTCATACTTCACATTCATTATACAATCGAACAGTTCTTTATTCATTTATCCTGAATGGTAGTGAAATATCCTAGATAGATATCTGCGTTACATGTGGATTGAATAAAGAAGGATTGTGTGATTAATTGCTCGCACCATGTAGAGGTGTATTGGATTTTAGAATTATCATCCTATCCGACCCCTACCCGTGAAGTGTGATTATGGATCAGTGGTTGCAGAGCGATGTAACATATGGCTTCAGTAGCAGTCTTTTGAACCTGGCTCCACAACTGCTTACAAGCTTTCATTTCTTCCCCATTTGGATTCTACTCGATGACCTGGTCACGCGCGTGATGTCCTCAGATGGTTTTCTTAGTGTATTCCTAATCCATCTCCATCTTCACTCTCTCTTCCTGTGCATATTTGTCAGCAGATAGATTCTTACTTCATTGGTTCGTTGCCAGCCAGCCAGAGTTCCTCCTTGATTATTATTTCTGGCTATCCATCTCATCTCATCTCATCTTCAGTATCGAGCGAGCGTGTTTAAGCAGCAGCTCTTCATGTATGTGTCTGCAGTTTGTTCCAAATGCTTTTCGAAACACGTCAGGTCTGTCAACCATCACATGGGAGCACTGACTTACTTGACTGAATTAGTCTTGAATATCCGGATATTGTTCACACTTTATGCTGATTGCAGTGCAGTGCATTAGATCTCCACACTGATCTTCGCAGATTAATGAAGGAAGACTTATCTTGCTGTCAGTTTAGAAGGCGTGCAGAAAATCCCATATATACGACTGTTTATTTGATATAATGCATAGTGACACTGTATAGATCTTACTGGATGACGTTTTGAACACCATATATTGCTCATATTCATATCCCAAAGTAATCATACAACTTTCAAACTTCACACTCACAATACAGTCCAGCAGTTCTTTATTCATTTATCCTGAATGGTAGTGAAATATCCTAGATAGATATCTGCGTTACATGTGGATTGAATAAAGAAGGATTGTGTGATTAATTGCTCGCACCATGTAAGGTGTATTGGATTTTAGAATTGTCACCCTATCCCACCCCTACCCGTGAAGTGTGATTATGAGTTAGTGCTTGTAAAGCGATGACCAAGTTTACCTGTAGATTACTTACATCTTAGTTGAGTCTACGATTGTATGTTTCGCTAAATGTTTGTGTTCTGGTATTATGACTGAGGGAGATCAGCTGGTGCTTTTACCTATGTCCTTGACCTCCCAATCATCATTATGTGGTATCTGATAGGGTTGGTTTACTTTTCTTAATTGACTCTATCAAATCTTTTGGCCATACAATTTCTCTCTGAGCGAGTTTCTGGGTTTAAATGCCACCCTAATTCCAGTCAGCATTGTTACGAATTCTATGTAAACTTTCCAATGTAACTTCTTTACACGGTAACACTACAATGGATTTGAATTCCCTTCTCCCCTCCCCCCTACTATAAGCATTTTCACAGATTCGTGAAGGTAGATATTAGCTAGTAGCTCTACCATTGGTGTGTTTCACTTCCTTATTCAGGTTTTCTGACTTAGATGTTTAAACTCTTAGCTCGATTACTCAGACATTTTATCGAGTCTACCATTTAAAGTTATAAGGTGAAATCGAAGTATCTGTTCGAATCCATCTGTTCCCCATCTTATCTCTTCTTGATTTGCAATTCAGCCTAGGTAATTCTCCTTCCTCATTTTCTCATTAGATTGCATCTGCTATCGAGTTAATGGATATGTTCTGATTTCAGCAAAATAAATTGTGTCATCTACATATCGCCACCATACTTTTGGGGTGGATCGAAATCTTCTTAATGCTATTTGCTCTCAACCGTTCATAAATATGTATACTATAATAGGGGATATTGTAGATCTCATCGCTACTTCTTCAGTTTGTTTATATATTTTATGTTGAACTTTGAGAACCATAAGAACTAAACAGTCTTATTTCCAGAATAAATTCTTGAATCGGAACTCAAATTATGTTACTAAGTTCATGTCCGACTACCTCAAGTGCCATAATAATCGATATATTTGTACAATCGCTTGTGACTTCAAAGCTAACCATCTTTTCTCCTTCCTCTAATTGTAAATTACTTAGTCTCTGTTTCAATTCAAATGAACTGATGAGCGTAGATTTTGAGCGATTTCAAATAGGACGTAGTACTCCACGTAACTATTCAGATAACTCATATGTTGTTCGTGTGTTTCTCAAGTCGTCTATTGACTTGACAGGATAACCTGTTCACTAAACCTTAATGGTACCATACATTCTACTGGGATTATTACTTTCAAGCATTAAATTAAACCTTGTTTTATCCTATCGTTGAGTGGATCCAATTGTTCGATCTTTGTTGACATATAGTCAACTGTACGAATGCTTCGATATTACCTATGTTTGACTTATATATCATTGATAGATAATGACTAGGACACTCATTTCGTCCTATTTAGGACTCGTCAGCTGGATGCAAGCAGAGATCGGTCAATTCGGCCCACTTAACGACTGGATAATACAAGCAACAGCATTAAAACTATACCTTATTGATTTTGAAGTCCAACATAGGTAATTCTGCTTCTCCTTCTTCATTTTCTAATTCATACGTCAATTGAATTGCATCTGCGATCGTGTTAATGTGTGTGCGAAAAAAAAAACTATGAATGTTTTCTGATTTCAGTACAGTAAATGTATCATCTAGATATCACCACTATAGGTTTCGGGATGGATTGGAATCTTTCTAAACTCATTTGTTCTCAACTATCCATGAATATGTCTGTTACAGTCGTAGATATTGGAGATCCTATCGCTACTCCTGTTTGTTTCTCTTGAAATTTGAAAACCCCTGGAAGTTAGACATAATCTTATCCCAGCATAATTTCTTCAGTTGAAACTTTAGTTCTGTCACTTAGTTCATGTTTATTTGTTTATAAATGCCATAATAATTGGAATATTTGTTAAGACTGGTAGTGCGACTTAACTATCTGCGAGGAATACGAACTCTAACATGCGAACAAATCGATTCTAAACTCTTATCACGAAGATGACTATAGAAGATGGTTTGTTGACAGAAACCTTTCTACTTTCTTAACAATAGTCAACATAGTTGACAGTGATGCTGAACATATATATATATATATCTAAATGACCTTGACAATACTAAATCCACATTTAGGTTAAAAGGCTTGATAACCAATGAGAGTTCAGCCTTCAAAGCAGTAGGAAACAACAATGATAAGTTATTTTAAGGTGATAGACAACATTAGGCAAACGTCATACAAAATTAGGGGGTACATACAAATACCTTAGTAATGACGTTTGTAACTATAACACTGACTGACGTGAATTTTCATCTATTCAAGTATGTCAGTTCCCTAGAGCTTTCAGAAATATCTTCCACCCGATTGCTTTCAGCGGCCTAACAAAGGTGACAATTATTTCTTGCTCTCCAATCTTTGATATATGTATATTTGTGTGGGTGTGTGGACATTACATTACTCGCTTAGATGACACCATATGTCCAGTCACTTCATAACTGACTATGGTGTGATACATTCTAAAATGGAATGGTAAACTCTATGTGAATAAAATTCACTTGCCAATTGTTATTCGTATGTATATTTCAGGCATTCAGTTGTAATTTTTCCAATTGCAGCTTGAAATAATAATCATGACCACTAATGATCATTTACGTCTAATGTCTTGTCGCACAAACTCGAAGATCTACAGGCAAAAACTAACAAGTTGACAGAACAGGCAGGGCAGTGAAGACGGCACTTCAAGTGAATGTAGAGAAGACGGAGGTGATGATGATACCCAAACAACAAACAACAGCATCAATAACAAGCACCAATCACCATCAACAGCAGAAAACTAAGACAAGTTGTCTCTTTCACCTATCTACCTGCTTGCCTAGGTAGCATCGTTTCAACTACAGGTGACGGCATAGACGAGAATGTCGAAACCAGGATCGGAATGAGAAGTTCTGACATTCGCCAGCCAATGTGAATGCGATAAAGTGGTAGTACCACATCATAAATTCACATGGCAGTCGGGAAAAAACCTATGATAATTGAAATGAAATAAAAATCTGATGAGCAGTCGGAACTCGTAGCTCAGTTGTGATAGACCACCAGCCCGGTAACCCAGTGATAGCTGGTTCAAATCCAGGCATTGTCAAAATTTTTATCTCACCTTCAATCAACAACCAGTATAATTATCCACTATGTTTGAAGTGAAGACAGAAGTAAGACAAGGCTGCTGCGTAGTGTCAACAATGATCTTCCTGATTGTGGTCGACTGGATCATGTATAAAACCGTGAGGAGCAAGAAGAGTGGCATACGCCAGCTGGACCGATGAAAACACCCTAGAACACTTGGATTTCGCAATGATCATTTATGTCTAATGTCTTGTCGCACAAACTCAAAGATCTACAGGCGAAAAATAACAAGTTGACAGAAGAGGTAGGGTAGTAAAGACGGCACTTCAAGTGAGTGTAGAGAAGACGGAGGTGATGATGATACCCAAACAACCAACAACAAACCCTAATCACCATCAACAGCAGAAACCTAAAACAAGTTGTCTTTTCATCTATCTAGGCAGCATCGTTTTAATTACAGGTGACGGCACACATGAAAATGTCGAAACCCGGACGGGAAAGACAGAAGACAGGCCTTCCTTCACTAATCTGAAATCAGTGACGAGATCTACTGTACTCAGCATAAAGCGTGAACAACATCCGGATTTTTAACACCAATTCAGTCAAGTCAGTACTCCTACATGGTTCATGCAGAGATTTGGTGTGTCACGAAAATCATTTCCAACAAACTACAGACATACATCATCAACAACTGCCCCTCACACTCACTCATTACTGAAGATCAGATCAGATCAGATGAGATGTCCAGAAAGAATAAGCAAGGAGGAACTCAGGGAAGGAACCAACGAGGCAAGAAGCTATCGCTGAAGAAAAATGCACTGGAATAAAGTGGAGATGGATTGGATTGGATTGGGCATACATTGAGAAGGTGTATTGGTGACATGAGGCGTGAGGCCAGACCATCGAGTGGAATCCAAAGGAGAAATGACGATTTGGGCGTCTGAGGTGAGGTTGACATGGAGGAGATGATGTGAGGAAGAAATGAAAGCTTGTAGGCAGTTGTGGTGGCAGGTTGAAAATACTTGAGAGAAGAGAGTGGAATGTAGGCTTGCTACTGAAATCCTGTATGTTCCCCTAGGAACCCAAGTGACAAATAATAAAAATAATAATAATTTCGTTTGGAAAGTCAAGTTCTCACAAAATGGAGATGCTAATTAGTTTCTTTATTTGTTGCTAGGTTGGCATTTAAAGATATTGGAATACAGCACATGAACAACAAACTAGGCCTGTCTCAAAGTGACTCTAAAGGCCACCTCAGCAACTGCTGTGACAACCAATTAAGTTTCCCTATTTTATGAAAAACCATATATATGGTCATTTTACGGAAACCTGATTGGTTATTTTAGCAGTTGCTAAGGTGACTCTTTAAAGTCACTGCTCAATGGGGTAACTTTAAACGCCACTCTGGTAACTGCCGAGTGAGCCAATTACGGCTCTTTATTTCATGAAAAACTTCTTTTCTAGCCGGAACGCTGAAACCAGATTAGTTACTTCTGTATGTTATGGAAATTCGCCTTTCTAGCCGAAATGGGAAAGCGGAATTGGTCATTTTCACTGTTGCCAGGGTAGTATTTAAATTCCCCCATTTCGTTACTTTGTAATGACGTATATGCTACTATTTCTTTAATACCACAAGGGACCCTCTGTGATAGGTATATGAGGTTTACTTTAGAGTACATGTTAGGCTTAGACTACGATTCTACCTACCAAAACACAACATACTGTTCCCCGTCACCACGATCAATCAATCAATATCAACATAGGACCAGGCATTACTGCATAACGGTCCGACTTCCCACCACACCTCATATCAGTACATCGAGTAGAAAGGTAGTGAGGTGAAGGATGAAGATAAGAGAATGCAATCAAAAGAAATATGAAGTACGAGAAGAAAGAAAGGAAAAATGAGAGAATGGTGAGATTCGATATGTGTCTTAAAGATGAGGTTAGTGTGTGTGGGGATACATCTGCGCCAGTGACATCGGTTCTCAGCCATGTGACTGTGTAAAGTCTCCCAGCACTGGTTCCTGTTGTCCCGCGGACCCCAACCGGCTTGTCTACATCGCCCCATCTGCATGGCTGAAACCAACAGTTCATACATTGATGCCATTTTTTAGTGTTACCACCTCCGGTCTTTTTCCAGCCTGGGCCTACTTCGGCCATCATCACCAGCCTAATCAATGTACAGGAATTCAAGACCAGTTAGTTTACCATGCGATGATCTATTCGTATAATTAAAGAGGTGGGCAGCCAATACTTATAAATAAACATTCATTCCCTCAAAATTCTAGATACCCTCTTGTGCTGAAAGGTTCCGATGTAGACATGGGATCTATATGAAGCATAGTTTGTGCTATTTCAACCTGAATGTTTAACACCAAAATCTGTAGTGTTATATCTGAACGCGACAGAAGTCGTCATCCTAAGGAAACCTGGTATGATATTCAGTCTGCTGTAAAAACAACGATAACGACAGATGGTAAACGTACACATGAAATTTACCAAACATCACTAGATTTCCGCAACATTATCCAAACTGATAGATGATATGACAAGACTAATTCCATCTGGCTGTGACCAGAATGAAGAGCGAATGCAACTTTAACCTAAATACACCAAGAGTCTTCGCAATGATCGTGAGCAGTTTTGGATGGTGAAAACGATAGAAATAAAGGATACATAAGCGTTAAGTAATACTCGACAATCATTTCGGCATATTAAGATAATGATAATCAGAAGATGATGGTGAGTGAAACCATCACCGAAAACGATGGGATGGTTCGAATATTGAGCAGAACACTTTGAAACACAGTTCAATTGGTCCTCAGCCAAACTGAATCTGAATAGAATGTAGATATCAGTCGTCTAGCTCTCCTTGATGTTGAAAAGGTTGTATCTTACCTGAAACGATGGAAAACAGCAGGATCTCGCAGTTTGCCATCTGAAATTTACAAGGATGGATGTAGGAAATCAGTGATTAGGGTGACGGAGATAGTTTAAGTAGAGGTAGTTTACTTGAGTGACCATCCTAGTGTATAAGAAGAGGGAGAAATTTCTTGTCACAATCATAGGGAATCAGTTTGACTAGTATCATGTCTAGTATCCTGAGGTCTATAGTTATCTGGCGCCTAACTGAAGCTCGACAGCAAAACATCCTATTCATTGTTGTTTTCTTGTGTGTGTGTGTGTGTATGTATGTGTGTGTGTGATACGCTTTATTCAACCTTCCTCATCTTTCTCCTTCTTTTCTGCATTTTAGTTACAACAGCTGATAAAAGACGAGCGTATCATTGCTACTACCAAGGTATATGCTCAGGGATTAGATGCAGCTCCACGTTGTCGTCCAGATGGATATTTAGCAATGACGATTATAGTGATCTCCGAGATGATTATGTCAATGATAATACAACTGAACAGTCACAAATAATGAATAAGTTAAACAATGATAATATAACAACATCAACTTCACTAGATCCTTCAGAACAGATTAATGAGAAAACTGTTGTCTGTGGAATGTATGGTTGGATTCCAGCTCAACGTGTTGTACAAATTCGTTGGACAATTTCAGAATTGTTAGGCATAAAATCATCGACAACATCAGTTTCTAATTCAATCATCAATAATAACAGTGGGAAAAATGAGAATGATGAAATGAATGTTGGTTATTTAATCGATAAATTAGGTTATACTGAAGGTATGTTTTTGGATTATACCAATTTAGCTATACGATGTGTGGATATATTACGTCGATTGTGTGATAGTTGTTCATCACGAGATTCACATGGTGGTGTTGTGCGTCCATTACCTAAACCTCGTCGTGCTATCTCAGATGTCAGCTGTTTACCGCATGTAATTCAGGTAAGCGTACACAAATACAGACATATATATTAGTATAATTGTTTTTATATGATACCGTCTTTGATTGGACCAAATTGATTGGTCTCTATTGGCATATGGGCTCATGTGCGGATGTCTTGATATTGCCAGCGTTCTAATTGTATTAATGATGGTGTAGTGAATAACGCGCTGGCGTTTGAAATGATCGCTTCCGAGTCCGAATCCCAGTGGGAACAACATCAGTCACATCCAGCTAACATACATTCTTTGTGTGTTGAAGATCTTCATTGTTCTTTTCCTTGTGTCGAAAATTCGTCTTCTACTCTGTGTCACTACTTAATCAAGAGTAGAGTGCTTCTGTCTTCTAGATTGGCGTTAGAAAGCCTTAGTTTCTTGAATTATACTCTATGTTACGTCATACACAAAAGAAGAGGATCATTGCTAATTGGCTGAAACTAGATGTTTATCGCCACTTAAATTCTTAGACATCCCGGTCCTCATTACATCATACTGACACCAATTTAAGCATTTCTTTGTATGTGTCACTTTTTGGCTATTAGACTTGCAGTTGACTAGGTACTCAGTTCACCGGTTGATGAATGGAACTCATCAATGTAACTACAGTTGGTTGGTGCAACTATGACTTTCGCATGACAAAATGCCCCGCTATAGATACATATCAGGGTGTCAACGTGAAGTAGTTTTACACGACGCGATGAGGAGATTTGTATGTTTGAGCTGCTGGCCATGGAATCAGAAAGTTATGCAACGACAATGAACGTCTTTGTAGCCCTGCTGGATAACTAATATACCGTCGTAGTTGACTTAGCGAGATCCACATTCGGGGTCTCAAAATTGCTGACGACTCAGCCGACCATCGGGATCCCCTCAATGCACTGGGACCAGTACAGCCAACAGGTAAGGGAGTTCAGCTTCCTAATTCCGGTAGTCACTGTCGTCGAAGCAGTCCCAAGAGTGGTGGTGTGATTTATCGGTATGCTGTCCGGATTGCCGAGTATCGTTCGATGTAACCTTACCATATTTGGTAAGTAGTTTACAAGAAGTCAGTAGAGAAGGATTATCAACCTTCAGAAAGGTGAAAGGCGTTGCTTTCCGAGAGATAATCTGTGACACATGTCTCATGCACGTCTGCCTATGGGAAAGTGAGTACGGTCAGCGAACGTGGATGCGTTGAAGCGTTGCTAAGATGTTTCCTGCTTGTTGAGGGGATCAATTCCACAGGTCAAGAAATTATACCGCCCAAGAAGACGAAGTCTTGCTTGAAACTGGGAACTGTGCCAACATTAGGGAAAACGCTACTGAACACCCCCAAAAGGTTGAACCTTTTTGACAGTCTTTTACAGTACACCACAACAACTTCCTTTAGGATCAATTAAAGATTCATAATACACATAAATTACACCAAACTGTGTACTCATCAATTAGTTTGCTTTTAAAACAAATAGAAACTGATTAGTTAGTTCAATTGTAAAAATTCATTTATTACACAAGAGATGAGTTAAATGTGTACGATATTGTAGAATTTTTATACTTAGTAATACGTGTATAAAGTTTGATATACTTGCTCCTAGTCTTCCCTGACGATTAACATACAGACACAGAGACAGCTTTAAGTGAAGAAGATGACAGTCATATAATAAAATAACTCCTACTAGATGTTTATATGAGTAAAAAATGTTTGTCCACAACAGTTCCGATTACAACGTTTCCAGGTACATCACTAGTTCTGCTGAGAATCTTCAAACTTCTACCCAATATAGCATAGTCTTTTTTTCAGTAACCTGGGAAAGACTAAAGGAGAACAATAGAGGAGGATAGGCAAGATGTAGGAGTTTATAAAACACAGAGGAGAGACCGAGTTATACCAGCTACTTAAGATAGAAAGTTGGGCGGATAATCCTTTTATAAATTAGTAAGATATGGGAGGAACAGGAAAGATGCGAAGAAAATTACATCCCGAGGTAAATCGTATTTGTTACTTTCCCTAATATACAACCTTTAATAGAACAGAAACTATGAGAAATAACCAGTTTACATAAATTATGTTGGGGCATTCTTGACCAATAGTTGCTACTTTGAAGTGATGGTTAGGTTTGCATATCCCAATGACCCAACGAGCTATGCTGATAGAAAATATGTTCTCTCGAGGTCCTACCATGCTACAAAGATCTGTTGAATTGTCGTAAGATGGGAAGAAATTGCCTCTGTGGTTTAAAATACTACAGTATGATGAGGGTTTCTCAATTAACACTACTACATCACTTTCAATTTCTCCTAGCTCTGCAGTCTTCAACAACGATCTGAGTCCACAGAACAGCATCCTTGGCCTCCCTGTACTACGCTCCAACTTACACATCGGGCCCTTCAATGTCCCCCCCCCCCCCCCCCATCAAACTGGTTAATAGGCTTCGTTGGCAAAGACTCTAGCAACTGGGGCCATGGATGTGTGCTGTGTTTGTAAGACAACCATACAGAACCCAAGTGCGGTTATTCAATTGACCTCTCCCGGCCAATCTGGTGAACCCGCAAAATTCACCCTTCGAGTTTCTGGAGATTCGATAGCTAGCTCTCACGGTCTTGTAGATGTAGGCATAGCATTAAACACTAAGGCAGAAAACTCACTACTAGACTGGATCCCAGTTGATAGTCCTCTCTGCGCTATCCGACTGAACTGCACAGTGAGAACTAAAAGGAGTAGTGAAACTCGCCTTTATCTCTTTGTAATCTCTGCTTACGTACCCACTAACTGTAGTTTAGATGAAGTGAAGGACGAGTTCTACCGTAAAATGTCTAACCTCCTCTCGAAAGCCAAACGTTCGGACGTGGTGGTTGTTGCAGGTGACTTCAACGCACAGGTACGTAGACTGAGTGAAGCAGAGAAGCACTTAGGTGGCAGTTTAGGAGTGTCGGCTGGACGAACAGATAACGGTGATCACCTACTACAACTGTGCTCAGATAACCGCTTATTTCTGTCTATCACAAACTTGAGACGTGAAGAAAGACACTGTCTGACGTGGTGTCCACCGAGCTCAACTCAGCGATGGACACAGACAGACCACATTGATATTAGTCATCACTGGAGAGGATCGGTGGAAGAGTGTCGCTGCTTCTGGAGTACGTGTTTGGATAGCAACCACGCGTTGGTCCGAGCGCATATATACCTGCGTCTCAACGGATGTAGGAAAAATTTGACAACAAAACCACTACGAGTGCTGCTGGACAACGAAAACACCAAAGCCGTGTTCAATGAGAAGTTGGCTAGACAGTTATCGGAGCAAAAGACTGTCACTCATCCAGAAGAAGCTTGGCGCCATCTTCAGTCTGCTGTAAAATCAGCACTGAATACTGCAACCGACTCCAAAATAATGGCTAAAAAGAGCCAGTGGATATCAGCAGCTTCTTCCGAACTAATGGATGCACGTGAACGCCTCCCTGCAGGCTCTGAGTACAATGAAGGTCGAGCACAACTTAGAAATAGACTGATGAAAAGTCTGCGCAACGATCGTGAACAGTGGTGGGCAGCGAAGGCTATAGAGGTGGAGAAGGCAGCGGCGATCGGTAATAGTAGACAGTTATTTAGACTTATCAAGGAGACTGGGGGGAAAAGATCAACAACAGTTAGTGAGGCTATAGCGGAGAAGGACAGATCTGCGATTCACCCTCAGGGGAGACGACTGGAACGATGGCAGAACACTTCGGGAAACAGTTTAACTGGCCTCCAGCCACAATTGCGTTGCCCGCTATCCAGTCGGATCCTGAATGGGACATAGAGACAGGCCCCCCAACACTAGAAGAAGTTGAGAAAGTGGTAGGTAACCTGAAACGAAGAAGGGAAGCAAGACCAGACTGACTAACTCCAGAGGTATACAAGGATGGTGGTAGAGTGCTCTTAGTCAGGTTAATGAAAGTATTAATTAGTATATGGGAATCAAATACGATCCCTTTTGACTGGTCTAAATGACTGACTATGCCACTCTTCCAGAAAGGCAAGAAGTCCTCTTATGATAACACGTGTTACGTGTGCCTAGTCACCGATTGCCTCATCACAATGTTGGCCGAAGTAGGTTCAGAGTGAAAAAAGGTCCTAGGCGGCCAGAGCAAAACATGGCACCAATGTATGAAGTCGTCGACTGTTAGTTTAAGCCATGTAGGGCGATGCAGACTGGGTGGTTGGGGTCTGCGAGACAAGAGAAACTAGTGGTTGGAGACTGACTCTAGGTCATTACATGGCTGAGAACCGATGTCAGTGGCGCAGATGTATCTTTTGACTGAATTTTCTTTTCTTCACATCCCACTTCACTACCTTTTTACTTTATGTACTGAAATGAGGTTTGGCTGCAACTTGGACCATTATGCAGTAATGCCTGGTCCTATGTTGATTTAGATGAATGGAAGGGGATTTGAAAATTTTCGATCAAAAATAGCACATTCCACTATGCCCTATGGTTTCTTGATGCCGGCGATATGGGTTATCTCTATCTGATAGTAGAACAATCAAACCTTGAAACAGCAATCCACAAAAAGCTGTATATGACAGACCTCAAGCGAATGTTGCATAGACTCTTCAGTCACAGAGATACTTTTTTCTTTCAAATACTTTAAGGAGAAATAAGCACCCGTAAAGTGTACAATCATCTATACACTTTCAGTAGTTCACTAGACCTAATCAAATATATAAGTGAAAAACTTGGGCACTGTGGTAGAATGTAATTCCATATTAGATTTGTTTATTTGATATAAAGCGCACAGTGATACAGTATTATTTAATTGATTACGTTTCGAGCATAAATTATCATTGCTCATAATCATATCAATGTAATCACACTCCTTTCGACATCTGATTTTATAGTCCTGTCACCTGATCTCTCTTTGTTTTTTTTTGTTTTTTAATTGGTAGTAAAGTTTTCCATATCTCTGGTATAGGTGTTGCGTCATTCCTATTACATGTGTTGGGTGTGGATTCGATGAACAAAGATTCAGTAATTAATCTCTCTCTCCACCTAGCTATATTAGACTTAAGTACAGTGGTTTTGTCCCATCCTATTGTGTGGTTGTGTGTTAATGAATGTAATGCAATGGCTGAGTGTTTTTCTAGGTTATTGATCTTATTGGGGTCTGTCGTTCTATGTTTAGCTAAATTCCTATGTTCTGTTAATCTAACTGACCCCGACCGGCTAGTTTGACCTATGTATTTGACTTCACAGTCATTACATGGAATTTGGTAGATTATATTATTTTGCTTAATTGGTTCTATCGGATCTTTTAGCCGACAAAGCTTACCTCTAAGTGAGTTTGTTGGTTTAAATGCCACCCTAATTCCAACCTTGTTGAGAATCCTACGTATGGTTTCTGATGTTCCTTCCTTGTATGCTATCACAATAGAGGTGTTGATTTCCTTTCTACTTATGTTGTCACTATTATTTGTATTTGTATTAGTGTTATTATTTTGCTTCTTATGTGTCCGTGTGAATTTCTTAATAAAATGATGGGGATAATTATTAATTATTAACGCTTGTTTTATGTGTTTTTAAGTCCTTACAATGACTAGTGAGTTTCTCAGCTCTGTTATTTAGACATTTGACTAAACCCGCTTTAACTGACACTGGATGAGATGACTTGAAGTCTAGATACCTACCTGTTAGAATGTGTTGGTTTTCTGTAGACGGTAGTATCTAAACCACCATCTATCCTTCGTTTTATTCTGCAATCCAACATAGGTAATTCTTCTTGTTCATTTCTACTCCTCGTAAGTGAATTGGATTGCGTTAACTACTGAGTTTATGTGTGTCAAGAAACTGTCGATATGTTCCGATTTCAACACTGTAAATGTGTCATCTACATATCGCCACCATATCTTAGGTGTCGGATTATATGTTCGTAAAGCCATATCTAATCAAATATATAACATATATACTTCTTAACTCTATCTCTTTCTTTACCTTCATCTTATGATGCTAATAATAAGCCTAGCATATTTCAATAGTGTATATTAAACGAGGATCTCTATGAAAACTGTCTTAACTGATTGTCTAATTGTTTTTTCGAGTAATCGACTACTTCATCATACCAATAAGACTTCATAATTCTGGTATATTGAAAGAGTACAAATATCAGCCTATCCCCTTGATATATACTTATCATTAGGATAATTGATTAATAATCATCATTATCTTCATTCATTTTTTTTTTGTTTTTTTTTCTTATTATTTTATTTTTAGTTGCTGTTAACATTTGATCCACTATTAGTAGAACGTGTTGTCTCTTTGTTGCATATTGTTATGGATCAAAATCCATGTCTACCTAGACTTTATTTAACTGGGATATTTTATTTTGTTCTATTGTATACTGGAAGTAATGTGTTACCTATTGCTCGATTTTTAAAAGATGTACACCTGTTACAAGCATTACGATTGGATGAGGTAAGTTGTTATATTTATAATTATAATTATTATTATTATTATTTGTCTCTTGGGTTCCTAGGAGAACATACAGGGCTTCAGTAGCACGTCTCCATTCAACTCTCTTCTCTGTAATCTTTTAAACCTCGCTCCACAACTGTCCAGAAACTTTCATTTATTCCTCACACAATCTCCTCCATGTCACCCTCGAACACCACCCAACTCGCCGTTTCCCATCCGAGTTCCACTTGAGTGCCTGGCCTGACACGTGATGTCCCCAGTCAGCCTTCTCAGTGTATGCTCAATCCATCTCCACTTCCTTCCACTGCATATTTGTTGAGTGATAGGTTCTTGGTTGCTTCGTTGCGTGGTCAGAGTTCCTTATTCCTTATTCTTTCTGGCCATCTGAGCTTCAGTAGCGAGAGTAGGCAACAGCTCTTGATGAATGTCTGTAGTTTGTTGGAAATGCTTTTCGTAACACGCCATGTCTCTAAACCATCACATAGAAGCACTGACTTGACTGAATTAGTGTTGAAAATCCGAATGTTGTTCACACGTTATGCTGAGTGGGGTGGATCTCCACATTGGTTTCAGGTTAATGAACGTCTGTCTTACTTTCCCGATCCTTGCTGCTTTGACGTTCTCGTATGTGCTGCCACCTGTAGTTGAAACGATGCTGCCCAACCAGGTAGGTGAAAGAGGCTACTTCCCTTAAGTTTTTCCCGTTGATGGTGAGTGGTGCTTGTTGTTGTTGGTGATGGTGTTGGTTGGGTATCATCATCACCTCTGTCTTCTCTACGTTCACTTGAAGGAAGTCCCGTTTTCGCTGCCTCTTCTATCAACTTGTTGGTTTTTCCCATTAGATCTTCGGGTTTGTATGACACTAGACACAAGTCATCGACGAAATCCAAATCTTATAGGATTTTAACAGTAGTTACTTTCATGTATATTATGTATTATTGACAACTTTTACTATTACTATCACTACTACTGTTACTATTATTATGTATACTGGGTGCTGATTGAAAGTGAAATGAAAATTTGGACCGCGGCCGGATTCGAACCAGCGATCACTGAGTTTTCGGTCCAATACTCTACCAACTAAGCTACAAGGTTCGACCATTGACCAGACTTTTATCTCGATTCAACCACCTTGGGTTTCCCCCGACTACTGTGTGAATTTGTGATGCGTTACTACACCACTTGATCGTATTTATACTGGCTGCCTAGTCAAAACTTCTCATCGCAATCTAAATGTAACTAAATTGGAAGCAGAAAGGGAGGATCATATTTATTATCACTTTGACTATATGAGATATAGCAGCCGTGATTTGACGGACACGCAGTATTTATCCTGCGTAATGATACTATCACTATTGTTCTTATCATATAAAAATTTCAACGTGACATATAAGTGAACAATATTGTTTTCAATTAGATCCTCTTCACACCTCACTTACTCCTATACAGAGGTAGAAAGGTAGAAAGTTGTAAGTTGAATGGATGAGCGACACGGCTACAATAAGTCTCCTCACATCAATCTGCTTTACCAACGAGGTTGCAGAAATTCATTGACTTTTGGTACGCACTCCTTGTAAGTGTAAGTAACCAGTTGTCTTTCCACCACTCGTACATCACACAGAATGTTGCTGACACGAGACTTCATCAGCAGGAGAATTGTTGTCATGTTCAGATAAATACCTACCATCTCCTACGTAAATACAGACTTATTGTTCTCATTTTACAGCCAAGTAAGTACACAGAAGTTTCACTGTTGTCTATCTTCTTCAACCAGTAAACTGTGAACATACAGGCAGCCGTGGTTATACGTTGTCCGAGTGAAAATCGGTATGGTGAAGATAGGCGGCTACATCTCCATCATTACTATTATCACCATCGTTATTCTTAAAGCATTCATCACATTAATCGACAAATTGACATGGCTGGTTTACCTTCTTACATCCTAATAAGCTATCTGTATTAGAGTAAGTGAGGTGTGAAGAGGATCTAATTGAAAGCAATATTGTTTGCCTATATTGTCTTGTTCTATTACCAGTGTAAATATTAATGTTATAATGACTATTGTCACTATTGAGTTTTGAGGTTTATAGGGATTTATTGATTTCAAGTTACCATTGATCATGGACTGCTAGTAGTAGGAGAGTACCGGACAGTTGTTTTGTCCTAACACATGACTCCTTAGCCGTGTGCACGTATGATGCCGCCACGCCGATAATCGAATCCAGTACACTCGGGTTCCGTGACCAGCACATTAGCGTTGAGCTACTGAGTCGGAGCACAGTGGTCCATATTTCCTACTTCCGCCAGTTCACGACATGTCACAACCATCACCTAATGCCATAGTTGAGTATTTGTCCTCATGGCCACTAGGTTTGCTCGTCTGGTCACAACTTCTCATTGGAACTTCAGGATTCGCCTCTCGAAGCTGGTCACTAATGAGCAACAGAATTATTCCATTTGAGGGTTTGTGGGGATTTAGTGATTGATTTTAAGTTGGTATTCATCATGGACTGATGTAAACCTAAAGGTCCAGATTTCGATCGTTGGCGACGTCATGGTTGCGCACTGCTGAGGAGTCCTATACTAGGACGTAACTGCTGACTATCCAGTGCTGCCAAGTTTCCAGTGTCCCTCCATCTGATGTGTCACTCCTTGATCAATACTGACTTGAACCTTAGATTTTGTTGAATTCGCTCACTTATCTCGTGATCTGCATCATCTTATGAATTATGATTCAAAAGCTTTTCTGTTAATAAAATGCATAAAATTATAATAGTGCTCATCTTAGTGGCTAGCTGGGGAATCCAGGACGAGTATTTCGTCTTACTTGCCACTCTTCAGTTGGATACACCTGTCTCCTAGTGACCGGTGTTGTTCCATTCCAACCTTAACGCAGGGACCGATCGCCTCAAAATAAACGATATCGTCAAAAAAAAAGTAGATTTTCTCCGCTGATTTCTTTTTTATTCCTCTCATGATTATAATAGTGGTGGATCGTGACTAGCAGTGAAATCCAGGATGCGCATTTCGTCCTATTTGGAACTCACTAGTCAGCTGGATGTACCTGCCTCTCAGTGCCGAGTAATGTTGTTCCCACTTAGATTCGAAACCGGGGCCGATCGCTTCGAACTCCACAGCGTAATCCACTTGACCACCAGCTACGATAGCCACTTCTTGTTGGATGGATATTGGACGAAATGCTCATCGTGGATTCCACTGCTAGCTACTATCCATCATTACTATAATTAGAACACAGGTAATATCGAGGCATCCGCACATGAACCCATATGTCAATTGAGACCGATCACTCGGTTCAGTCAACGACGATATAGTACAAGCAATTATACTCTCATGATTGCTTTGTTTCCTCATCTGTATGTGTATGTGTAATTTTTTATTCGCTGGTGTTTACAATAGCATATTTATTTAAGTGATTAAATAATGAAAAGAAAAAGAAAAAAGCACAACTAAACTTTTTTATTTATTTCAGTTTACTGGATCATCTGGAATCGATTTAGCTTCAAGATCTATATTAGGCAACATGTTACCAGATGCAATGATTGCTTATTTAGAAAATCATTCACCGGAGAAATTTGCAGAGATATTCTTAGGTGATTTTGATTCACCTGAGGCTATATGGAATCCAGAAATGAGGTATGTTAAGGATACTTTTCAATTTCTTTATTTTTTCAATGTTGTATATCAAAATATACTACTTGTCAAATGTGTAATGTAGTTGGAATGTGTCGACCATTTCGCTTACTTCAGGAGTTACATTAATCTGAACGTGCTGGTTACTGACGAAATATCACCATGGATAGACATTACTTGTTTGACATATTCCGATTTCCGTCATCTGTGACGGCAACTGACGAGATATCTGGTTATCTATCAAAAGATGAGTATACTGTACTGCATTCCATTCTGTTCTGGTGCATGACTGTAAGATATGGCCGTTAAAGTTAGGAGATATCAAATGATTGTAAATCTCTCATCACATGTGTCTTCCTGGTGTTTCTTGTGTTTGTGAACTTTTATCGAATGAGGTGACTTGAACATGTGTTACGCATACCGAGCTGCCACTTAACTCGATGTGCCATGTTAGGAGGGGTAGATTGGTTGGTGGCCAGGTCAGAACGTGAAACTAGTGTATGAAGTCTTTGATTGTATATCTGGTCCGTATAGGGAGATCACATCAATTTTTATCCTGGTTCGGCGAGAAACTATAGTATATTGATCGGCAATTAAGTTGTCTACAAGGTACACAGGTGTATAGTATCCTCTGAGCTATACTTATTGTATTCACTGATGATCTTCCTGATTGTGGTCGAATGGATCATGCAGCAAACCGTGAGGAGCAAGAAGATGGGAATACGCTGGAGCGATGAAAAGACCCTAGAAGATTTGGATTTCGCCGATGATTTATGTTTGATGTCGCACAAACTCGAAGATCTACAGGTGAAAACTAACAAGTTGACAGAAGAGGCGAGGCAACGGAAGCGTGACTTCAAGCGAATGTAGAAAAGATGGAGGTGATAAAGATACCCAAACAACAACACACAACAACAAGCACCAATCATCATCAACAACAGAAACCTAAAAGAAGTAGTCTCTTTCACCTACCTGCGTGCCTGCCTAGGCAGCATCGTTTCAACTAGAGGTGACGGCACAGACTAGAATGTCGAAACCAGGATCGGAAAGACAGCAAGACAGGCCTTCATTAATCTAAAATCAGTGTGGAGATCCACTCCAGTGCAATCAGCACAGAGAACAAGATCCGGATTTTTGACACCAATTCAGTCAAGTCAGTGCTTCTATATGGTTCAGAAACTTGGCACGTCACGGAAAGCTCTTTCAACAAACTACAGACATTCACTGACAGCTTCTCAAGCTGACCCACTACTGAAGATCAGATGTCAAGGTGAGAAACAATAAGCAAGGAGGAACTCTGGGAATGAACTAACGAGGCAAGAAACTGTCACTCAACAAATATGCACTAGAGGGAAGTGGAGATGGATTGGGCATACACTGAGAAGGCCGATTGGGGACATCACTCGGCAGATCAGGCCCTCGAGTGGAATCCAAAGACGAAACAACCAGTCAGGCGTCCAAGATGAGAGTGACATGGTGGAGATCATATGAGGAAGAAATGAGAGGTTGTGGGCAGTGGTGTAGCCAGATTGAAAAGGCTGCAGAGAAGAGAGTTGAATGGAGAAGTGCTAGTGAAGCCCTGTGTTCCACTAGGAACCCAAGGGGAAAATAATAATAATATATTTATTGTATGATGAGTGAAGCCCTTCAAGTTGAAGGTAATGATATTTGAACCCATGACATTTTGTTTAAGAAGCGAGTCAGTGAGCCATATCTCCACAAAATACGACACATAGTGTTTCACAATGAGTCTATTCACTGCTGGAAGGAAATTGCTGTGTTCATAGGTTATCTATGTAAATAGTAAAAGGTTAATGGTTCTGATACCCAGGTTGATGATTGATATACAAATGAGAATTGAAGTCATTAAGTGATTTGAACTGGCAACTTCCAAGTTACCTACACAGTCGTTGCTTAATCCCCCTGAAATATGATAACTAGTAGGTAGTCACATTTCTTAACTTCATTTCAATCTCCGAAGATTTTTGGTCTAGCTACCTAGTGAGTCTGTGAAACGTAACTGTCTGTTCATCGTAATCCTACTGGTTGTTCTTTGGGAATTAGATTCATGATAGCTCCTTTAAATGCTCATAATTTTTAATTTGAAAAAAAAAATCTTGCCTTGTTTACTACACTGCAAGTTTTTCTAAACTAAGAAAACGAATGAATCTAACTTAGTAACTAAGCGTCAATGATGAGATTTCTGTCGCTTCGTTTCATAGTTAACTACGCTACAGAAGTCGAAGGTATCACCTAATTGTTTTGTTATAGTTCATTCATCTAATGAATAGTCTAACAATTGACGAAATATACCAGTTTATTCATGAATAAGAACAGATGATGTATCAGCGAAGAAGAAGCATCTTCTCCTTTTCAATGACTTCATCATATCAAACTGTATAGTCGTATTTATAAGGATGGAGAAAATGAGATAACAAGTAGTGAGATAAAAGCCTCATGTTGTCAAACAAGTGTAAAACAATGGTAATTTAACTGAAGTCTACAAAATAGGTCAAAGGTTGTCAATGAAGTGAAAATTGGTGATAATGATGATCATCGACTTTGAAAAGGCCTTCGATTGAGACGTCGATCGATAAGTAATTTGGCAGACAACTGCTTCAACACTATGGAATACCACAAACCTCTATCAATTTCATCCAACTACTATATGAAGACTTCTCATGTCAAGTAATTCACAATGCGAAGCTGTCTACTATCACCTATGATCTTCCTGATTGTGGTTGACTAGATCATGCAACAAACTGTGAGGAGTAAGAAGAGGGGCATACACTGGACGGGAGAAAAGAGCCTAGGAGATTTAGGATTTCGCCGATGACTTTTGTCCAGTGTCACACCTTTTTTTGACGCATTACGCTGGTTTGAACTTTTAGATGGCTAGTGGTTCAGCTATAGACAAATGCCTTGATCTTACTCCCTTTGAGGGGTTTGATCGAACCTTGTAGATAATTTTGAATGAGCTCTAGAAAGGAGTTAAGTGTCATGAGTTCACGAAATGTTCTATTGTTGAACTGAAGATGCGTTTCCCCTTCTCTATTTGCTAGCCAGGCTGGGTAGTGTTCGTGGACACTTTTTACAAGTGGACAGATGGTACGGCCAATGTACTCAGCTCCAGAAGAGCAAGTAAACTGGTATACACATATTGATTTAGCACAATTCCGTCGACTTGTCTTTCGTACATTGATCAAGTTTCTTTCAGGAGAAAATGATTTGAAGATTGGCGGCAAAGTATGCTCTATCTAAGGATTTTGACAGTCATTTTCCTGAGGATGTCTGTGGCAATATCCATTTCGAATTCAAAATTCAACAAAAGAATCTTTTTCACCACCAAATATGTTCGCTCAGTTGAGTTCTTTCGGTTTATGTATTGATTGGTCATGAGAGTGCAACCAATTTCATGTTGTCTAGTCCTAAGTGTAGACCGAATTCTATCGATCATATTTGCAATGTGACAACCAAGCTAGGAAGCTGAGCATCACGGTGTACATTATTAGATGTTAGTTGGTTGAAGGCAATCGGCAGGAAGCCTTGCTTGACCTAGGTTCGTGCTTTTTGGCATTTGTCAACAAGGCATATGTGCAACTTCAACGGAACTGATATCTCGCCTGAGATTTGAACCCGCGTCACCCAGTGTTGTAGTCAGTGACTTTACCACTGAGCTATTCGGGCTGCGATTGACCTCCCGTAGGACTGGCTTACATGTGTGGACTTGTCAGGGATGTGTAACCAATTTCATGTTATCTAGTCCTGAGTGTAGACCGAATTCTATCGATCATATTTGCAATGTGGCAACCAAGCTAGGAAGCTCAGCATCTCGGTGTACATTATTAGATGTTAGTTGTTGAAGGCAATCGGCAGAAAGCCCTGCTTCCGTGCTTTTTGGCATTTGTCAGTAAGGCGTATCTGTGTAACCTCAACGGAACTGATATCTCGCCTGAGATTTGAACCCGTGTCACCTAGTGTTGTATGTAATCAGCGACCTCCTGTAGGACTGACTTACATATATATATATATGTATTGATTGGTCATGGAAGTGATTTGAATCTATGATCTATCAACTGCATTTGACTACTTCCAGTTGTCAGGTATCTTTACAACTAATCTTAGTCACTAAAAGAAATTTAATTATCGTTTTCAATTTATTTTATTTTCATTGAATTTATCAATCATTGTTTGTTATATTTTAGACGTTATATGATCAGTCGAATAACATCTCATTTAGCTGACTTTTCACCTCGTTTACATAGTAATATACGTGCATTGTATCGGTTTATTGGAATGCCAATTATTATTTATCCACAATTAGAGAATGAATTATTCTGTCATAATTATTATCTACGTCATTTATGTGATATACAAAAATTTCCTGATTGGCCTATACGTGATCCGGTTAGTTACTTTTTCCATTTGTATTCTATGAAGAAAAATAAAAAAACCAAGAAAGGCTTGTTAAATTATACTTCAAAGCATTTTATGCTTATTTTTTTTTTACTTTATTGAACTAGTCAAACTTCTTTCGCTTTGAGATCTACTCTGAAGTAGTCTTGAAGAAAGACAAAAGAAATATGAAGTATGAGAAGAAAGAAAGGAGAATGAGAAAATGGTGAGAATCGATATAACGCCGTTAAGATGAGAATAATATGTGTGGGGAGACATCTACGCTACTGCCTTCGGTTCTCAGTCATGTGACTGTCTAAAGTCTCCAATCACCTAATCTGCATCGCCCCTCTACATGGCTTAAACCAACAGTTAGAGACTTCATACATTGATGCCATGTTTTAGTGTGGCCACATAGAGCCTTTTTCCAATCTGAACCTACTTTGGTCAACATTGTGTGATGAGGCAATCGGTGACTAGGCATACGTAACACGTGTCCCAACCATCTCAGTCGATGAAGGTTCACAACTGTGTCAACTGATTTACCTCTACTCCCTAAAACTCTATGCCTGACTTCTGCATTACTCACATGGTGACACCATGGAATACGGCCTATACTACGAAGGTAATGGTGGTCAAACACCTGAAGCCAGCTTTCTCATGTCTTCCACCTTCAATGGTCATGTTTCACAGCCATACACAGTAGAACAGAGCGGATTTTTATGCCGTGCATGCAACCTATAATAGACAAAAGGATATCATGACGGCGCCATAGGTGGCGTAAATTGGCGAAAGCCAATCGAGCCTTTTGTATTGGTGCAGAGATTTCATCGGCAACTAACCCACCAGGGTTGATCCTACTTTCCAGGTAAGTGAAGTGGTCAACACACTCAACCATTTCACTCTCTATTATCAGCCGAAGCACAGCTGAAGACCACTCCTGGAGTAAAAATTTTCATTTGGGTAGTGAAAATCGCATACCAAACATTCTCAAATTCCCACTCAAAGTGTTCACAAGAATCTGCATCTTGTCAGCGTCTTCACAGGACTATATGATCTGCATATTCTAGGTCTAACGAAAATTCTCCTGTGATTAGGTTAACCTTTGTGTAACCTGGTGACGAGAGGAGTCCTTCATAAAATGGAGAGAGTGGGCATCCGTGACGGACACCACTCGTGAGCATAGCTCCCTGGACATCTCACCATAGGCTCTAACACGCCCACAAGTGTTCGAGTAGAGAGTTTTGAATAAGGTGATGTACATACTCGGGACGCCTTTCAGTGAGAGACATTGCATAAGACTTCTCGATCAACGGAGTCAAATGCCACCTTCAGGTCGAGAAATACAGCTATTGTCGGGTGTCTGTAAGCGTGCCTATGTTCCAGGACCTGGCGCAGTGCGAATATTTGGACGATACATCGTCTCATTGTATTATGAGTAACTGTGACTAACTAGTCTAGGCGTTGGGCTTCAATCGATGTGATATCAGGTTTTGTTTTAATTTCGGTGCATGGATATAGAGTCTCAGCCACTAACGTTTCACTACCCAATTCAAATTAATGGAGAAGACACGATGGGCGTGTAAAAACATCTAGAGACTGAAACGAGGGTAAATACAGCTAAGATATAGATATTTCTCTGTCTGTCTATCTGTCTAGCCGTAGACGCGATAACATAAACTACATTTCGATACGTCTCTCTCCAGAATAGTGTTCTCTCTCTATCTCCATATCACTTCTCTCTTCGACAGAATATTATTAAGGGTTAGACTGGGCCGTGCTGTTTTTTTTGCATCTATCTGATCGACGCGGAGGGAGTTTCACCTTGTTTACTGAGGGATCAGTACTCTTCTCGAAATAATTTCATTAGGCAGATACATGAGCGTAAAATTAGCTATCAAGCTGAGAGATTTACCTACCGATCAAGAACGAGATCCGCGGTGGTGTCTGGAAGATAATCTTTGTACACATCGTTGTGTGTGTTGGCGACAAACACTGTCCTTATGACCACCAGCATTACAGTCCCGCAGCAAAGTGATGAAGTGTCTTCCTCGAGGGTCGGTTAGTATCTCATGAGTTACTGCATCGATGAACAGGCAAATAAGGCCAGGGTGTGTGACCAGAGGGGATGCGGAGGAATGAGATATTTGGCGAACTGTAAATACTTCAGAACCACCTTGGCGTTCAGATTGGACTAAAACTGAATCTCACTGCAGGGTTGCCCAGTCGTTGATATTCTGCAGATATGTCATTCAGTGTCTGGACTATTATGTCGAAAGTGCGATTACTTAGGTTCTGCGGCGAAATCATGTCGCAGTATTGGTCGAGCTCAGGCGGACGAAGCTTTCGAAGTAGGAGACGTACCATCCAGGAGTCATCTTGGCCAGAAAATCCACTTTGAAGTAGTCTACATAATGCCTGAACCAAGTACTAAAAATATTATTGGCATCAGGATCGTAGTGAAATTCAGCGATGCCATTAACTGAAGAAGATATCCTCATTTGTTGTCCGACGAAATTGTCCAACTTCTAAGAATCCACTCCCCAGTATCCTATTTCTGTCGTCGCTGTTATGATTCGAAAACTGCTGTGTGCTATGGCCGCTAACGATGCACGGATATCGAATGTCAACCACAAATGTTCAATTACTTCCTAGTTGATTCACCACCGTACCCGAATTAATGGAAGAGACATGAACGTGTAGATTTGTGTACTGGGTTCGAAAGATCGAAGGAAACTACAACTAATATATAGATAGTTCGCTGTTTAAAATAATCTTATTGATTGGCTGTACCACCGTCACTGTCTGTCTGTCTAACTGTAGACGTGATAACATAAACTACATTTTGACTGGTCCTTCTCCAGACTAATCATTTGTCTCTATCCCCATATCAGGTTCAAGACCTGCTACATCTTGAGATTTTCGAACCTCCAGTTACGTTTGCACGCAGTACTCATAACTCATTGTCCACTTTATGTAACCGCATATCGAGGGGGGAGCACTTAGTTGCACTATTTCATTTATCAGTTTTTCTACATTTATTCCATTGTATCGATAATCTTCTGACTCATTCACTTAAGATTAACAGCGTGTTTTTTGTCTGTTGAAAAGATGCTTACCATAGTAGCGCGAATTTCTTGAATGTTCCCAGTTATAGTGTAAGTTGCTAAGCTATGATATGGTTCCGATAGCGAAGTCTTACTACTACTGACTTTATGGGTATGTGACAGCAGTTAGGTGTTTCTCGTGAATGGCCAGCAGTGCTATGTTAATAAAGGGTATGGGTTGGCCGCAAAAACAACATACTGCTTCGTTTCTCTGTAGTATGCTGGTGCTAGGACTATAAGTTTTCTAGATGGATTCGTATGAAACAAGCAGAAATCTCAAACTTCCAAAAAACCGTGTTACCGGCTCTTTTAATAGGTCAGCTTTTTGTCAAATACCTCTAAAAGAACTAACCTTCCACGGTGTGAGAAGCTGGAAAGTGTCAACCACCCTCACAACTCTGTCAGTGTTCCACTTCCTTCTGATCATTGTCAACCTTCCAACCTTTCCCAAAATCTGTCAATATTCCTACGTCATCTTTCTCTCATTCTAGCTTTTGCTTTTATGCTAACAAGTTACTTAAATCAGTCAAGTAGTGTATATAGTATCACTAAAAAAATATGGTCTTAACGTAACTAACAAATAGTATCCTAGGCCTGGCGCGAGACTCACATAATGACTCACTAGACGTTATGATTAACCGACGGAGAAATGCCAAGCGCTGGACCGAACCAGCATTATTCCTGATTTTTTATGTGCAAGTTGATTCTACAGCCATTAATTTCACACCAGCTGATTCAGCGAGAAGACGAATTCGGATGACCAGTCTACACGATGCACTTTTATTTAGATTTATCGTAGGTGGCCCTTACAACTGCTACTAAGACAACCAATAACGGCTGTACACTTTATGAAAATCTAACTACCCAGCTAAATTACCGAAACCTGTTTGACTATTCCAACCGTCTCTAGGGTGACCTTGAAGGCTACGCAAAAGGTACTCATAACTGACTGGTTTTAGTTCTCATTCCTTCAAGCCACGAAGATAACATTTTTTTCATTCGATTAACGAGGTACGATTCCTACGCCTTTTGCAGCGAACATGGTTCCATACTATTACTTGTATTTTCCCATTGTTGCTTTGTTTGAGCTGCACTGATCAACGACTGCTGGTATATGACGCCTCCTCGGCCCCCCCTCCTCCCCACCAGTCTGGAGGCCTCGATGTTGTGGATAATTTCATCCTTATCCTAGTGATGCGTCTCGACTAACAGGGATGTGTTTCTCAGCACCCAAATGCAAATTGTTGCTTTAGGAATGGTCTTTAACAGTGCCTCGCTTAATAATATCGAGTGTAGGGGTTGAGGATGTCGACCACTTCACTTACCTGTGAAGTAGGATCAACCCTGGTAGCTCAGTGGCCGACGAGATCTTTGCATGAACACAAAAAGCTCAGTTGGGTTTTTCCAGCTGACCCCACCTGTAGTGTTGCCGTGATATCCGATTGTCTATTAAGAATGGCGTGCACTGCACAACAGTCCGCCCTATTCTACTGTATAGCTGTGAACCGCGGCCATTGAAGGTGGAAGACATTAGAAGGTTTCAGGTGTTTGACCACCATTACCTTCGTAGTATAGGCATTATTACATGGTATCACCATGTGAGTGATTTTCAGAAATGAGGTGTAGAGTCTTAGGGAGAAGAGGTAAATCAGTAGACGAAGTTGTGGACGTTGATGGACTGAAATTGCTGGCAGGGACTTGTGTTACGTATGCCTAGTCACCGTCCACCTCGTCACACAATGTTGACCAAAGTAGGTTCAGATTGGAAAAAGGCTCTATGTGGCCAGACTAAAACATGGCATCAATGTATGAAGTCTCTAACTGTTGGTTTCAGCCATGTAGAGGGACGATGCAGATTAGGTGGTTGGGTCCGCGGGACAAGAGGAACCAGTGGCTGAAGACTCTAAGAGATCACATAGCTAAGATCCGATGTCAGTAGCGCAAATGTATCGCCATACACATTATCCTCATCTTAACGACGCAATATCGATTCTCATTATTTTCTCGTTCTCCCTTTCTTTCTTCTCGTACTTCATATTTCTTTTGACTGAATTTTCTTTACTTCAGCTTCCACCTGACTGCCTTTTTACTTTGTATGCTGATATGAGGTGTGGCGGCAACTCGGGCCGTTACATAGGAATGCCTGGTCCTATGTTGATTCGGATGTATGGAGTAACAGTGCGAGGATATATTTAGGAACAGTAACGCTCACTAGACTGTTGGAACTATCAGCTAACAAGTTTTCAGTTTGAGAAAATGAATGCTCTGAATTCAACTGTTAGCCTCCATTCACAAGACAAAGGTTATCTGTATTCGATCTCTCTGACCGATCTCAAGAAAGGTGAGAAATCCTCCTGTGATAACGATAGATGAGTCAGTCTGATGAATATAGTGTCTACGATTCTAGGTTCTGTAATCAATAGGCCTATACGTGGAACTCGGGAACGGCAAATGTATAAAAACTGGACAGTTCTCAGACTTGTCTGAAAGTGTATCGATCAGTTATTCACAAACTTCCAGTTTCTGGAACACATGCACACTTACTGAGACCTGACACTGGCTGTATTCTTTGACATGAAGGCGATGTTCGATTCCATTGATTGAGAGGTCTTATGACTGTTTCACTGAAAGTGGTACTGAATATGTAAATGACTCGGTTGAAGGCTGTCTACTCGAACTCGCGTTTGTTTGGGCGTTAAAGCTTACAGTGAGTTGTGTGCGTCGGGTGGTATCCGTTAAGAATGTTAACTCTCCCCATTCCTACTAAATTGTATCATACACATTCTTATGGAAGTCTCCTTCTCGTCATCTGACTTCACAAGGATTGATCTTTTCACTGAAGAATTCTTTTTAAATATGGGATACGTAGATAACATACTACCATTAGGTGAAGACAGTGACAAGATGCAGAGTTCTCTGAACACTGTGAGTAGCAATTCGAGGATGTTTGAGATGCGTTTCTCGCCAGAACTGGTCTTCAGCGATGTTGTGTCTAACAATAGGGAGCGAGGTGGTTGAATGCATTGACCACTTCGCTTACCTGCGAAGTTAGATCAACCGTGGTGCGTTGGTCAGTGGCCAATTAAATCTCCGTAAAGAAGCGAAATCTCGCTTGGCTTTCTCTGACTCACTTAGTCTCTAGTGACACAACGATATCGGATTGTCTATTTTAAGAGGAGAGTGTTGTTCTCTCTTCCTTATTTCGCTACATTTTATCTCGATGTGCTGATATGAATTGTGAGAAGTGAAACTGTTATGTAGTACAGATTAGTCCTATTGTGGTATTCACTGATATAAAAACTTTATTGTTTACCCTTGTCGCCTCGGTTCCATACACTTCCATATCGCTGAAAACTACATCCAGTAGTAAATATATACTTTTACGTCCATGTCGCGAGTTTGAGTTGATGATACAAGTTGGCGAAACAAGAGTAAAGGCAGATAATTAAGCTTGATGGTGAGTCATAAGACGTAAATAAGATAGGGTTAAAGCAAATAAAGAAATTAGGTATTATTTACCAGATGAGGTTGAGACCTGAATGTATTTTCAACACTTCGATTAATCATCGTCAGCTATATCCGTTATATCAAGTTGGTATTCCTCACAGATTGGTACCGAAAACCTGAGAGCACTGGACAGCTATATTTCATTTTAGGATCTACATGGTCGGTAGCCAGCATGTTACACCACTGAGGCACCACTGAGTCGGGATCCAATAGTTTACATATCACTACATCTCAATAAAACTTCTGGGAATCTCATCTCGAAACAAGTTACTAATGAGTAGTAGAGATGAAATTCCCCGAAGTTCTAATGAGAAGTACTTGACCAGTGGGGTAAAGCTAGTCGAATATGAGGACAATTACCTAGTGATAGCACTGAATGTAGGTCTATCTATGTTGCTAACTGACTGAAGTAGGAGAATATGAAGCATTGGATACCGATCCAGTGGCTCGAGGTAAACTTACTGGCCGGGGTTCGACCCCCTGAGGGTAGGGTCATGGGTGCGTGCTGCCGAGGAGCTTCATACTAGGACGAAACAACCATCTAATGCTCTCCAGCTGATGTCAGTTCGTGAGGAATATTATCTTGAAATCAACCAATAAATCTTCATAAAGAACTAAATATACACCTTTGTATCAACTTTAACTTTATTGCTTCATTTAGGTTGCATTGCTACGTGATATTTTAAAAGCTTGGCGTGATGAACTACAGAAAAAGCCTGTAAATATGTCCTATGAAGAGGCATTACGAGAGCTTGGATTAGATGTGAATCAGTTGAACTCGTGAGTAACAATAAGATTCATGCCTATCTTTTTTACATTTCTATTATTTATTATTTATTTATCCCTTGGATTCTTAATGGAACATAGGGCTTCAGTAACACGCCTCCAGTGCACTCTCTTCTCTGCCGTCTTTTCAACCTGGCACAACGACTGCACACAAGCTATCGTTTCTTCCTCACATCATCTCCTCCATGTCACCCTCACCTCAGACGCCCAACTCGTCGCTTCCCATCTCGGTTACACTCGAGTACCTGGCCTCACGCGTGATGTCCCTAGTCAGCCTTTTAGTGCATGCCCAATCCAATCCATCTCCACTTCCTTCCACTGCATATTTGTTGAGTGATAGGTTCTTGCTTCGTTGGTTGGTTCATTGACAGCCAGCCGGAGTTCCTTATTGCTTATTCCTCCTGGCCATCTGATCTTCAGTAGCGAGCCAGTGTAGGCAGTTGTTGATGAATGTCTGTAGTTTATTGGAAATACCTTTCGTGACGCGCCAAGTCTCCGAGTCATACGGAAGCACTGACTTGACGTTGGTGTTGAAAATCCGGGTCTTCTTTCACATGCTGATTGCAGAAGATCTCCACACTATCTTTTTTACTTATACCTCCATTTTATACGGTAAATTTAAACATGATGAAGGAGACTAGTTTATTGATCAGAAGTAGTTGAATGACACATTTCTTGGTATCGGAGTAAAACTTCAGCACTGTTATAGATTTCAATAGTATTTTAGTCTTATTTACTGCATAAGGCTTTTTGGACACAATTTTTTGTCCATATTTATATTGTAGTGGGCGTTGCTGATAACAACGGATATAAGTAGTATATATCGAGAGGATGGCAGGAATCATAGGGAATTACCGGCAATGGGTAAGGTTTCTGCCAAGAGCAACGCAGGGGACAACACAGGTGTATTACAGGGGATGCTACTGATAAGAGTGTATGAAGAACCGGTCAAGAGCAAATCAAGACAGGAACAGAGAGGAAACGAAGATATTTGCTAATGGCTGCGTTAGTGCAAGGAGTACCATATGTAACCACTACCTATTGATTCGACAAAGACTCAATCGGTTATCACTCTCTCCCTCCATCCACCCGACTAAGTTTTTAACGTGGTCTCTCTATCGCACCCTACTGTGCAATTCTGCGTAACTAAGTGTAGGGCTATAGGATCTTCCTCTTATCCTGATTTAGCTAAGGCCTGGTGCTCTGTAATTCTAACTGACCCTGATCCACTACTATAACTGACCTATGTATTCGATCTCACAATCATTGAAAGAAATTTATTATTATTTGTCCCTTGGGTTCCTAGTGGAATATAGGGCTTCATTAGCACGTCGCTATTTCACTGTCTTCTCTGTAGTCTTCTCAACCTGGCTCCTCCACTGCCTATAACCTTTCATTTCTTCTCCACACCATCTCTTCTATGTCACTGTTGGACGCCCAACTCGTGGTTTCCAATCTGGGTTCCACTCGAGTGCCTGACCTGACCCTTGATGTCCCCAAACCGTTTTCTCAGTGTATGTCCAATGCAATACATCTTCACTTTCTCCTGTCTATTTGTTGGGTAATAGGTTCTTGGTTGATTCATTGCCAGCCAGCTTGAGTTCCTTCTTGCTTATTCTTTGTGGCTACCTCATCTCATCTTCACTATCAGGTGAGCGTACGCTGCAGCTGTTCATGTATGTCTGTAGTTTGTTGGAAATGCTTTTCATAACACGCCAACTCTCTCAACCATTACACAGAGGCATTGACTTACTTAACTGAATTAGTGTTGAAAATCCGGCTCGTGTTTACACTTTAAGCTGGATATATTGCAATGCAGTGGATTCATCACACGTTCTCCAATAGTATTTGTTGACTAGAGAAAATAATTGGAAGTTGTGAGGAAAATTAGGTATTTTTCAATGCTTTTGTACAATCAATTCTCTAGTATCACTGTCCAATATATCTCCCTTAAAGTCAATATTCATGAACGATGTCTTTTTGAGAAGTTCAGGATAGTGTTCTGAGTTACGTTTCGATGATACATTCGTTCTAGTCCTATGAAAATCACTGTGTATTTGGCTAACATCCAAATGTATATGATAGGGTTTTTTGGTTGTCTATTTTTATTGGTTCAAACATGGTGCGAACATTCCATGTCCCCACGTTTACTTTCGTTTTTATCGAGAGAAGACATATCGGTCAATAGACTTCCCGAAGGCTTTCACCAACCGGCGTCATTTCGCCTCTCCGATTCCAGCGAGGAATAATTTTTTTTTTATTTTTTATATTTTGTTTGTGCTTTGAAGTTTGTTTAGCGGTTGGATTGATTTTACGGTGTAGGGTTGCTAGCCTTATACCCAACCTTCCCTCTTTCTTGGGCTTAGGACTGGCTAGTAACTAGTGAACTAGTTAACCAGGCGAGGTTACGAAAGGCATTTTTAACAAACTATAGATATTCATCAACAACTGCCTACGCTGGCTCGTTATTGAAGATCAGATGGCCAGAATAATAAGAATAAGCAACAAGGAACTCTGGCTGGCTGTCAATGAACCAACCAACGAAGCAAGAACCTATCACTCAACAAATATGCAGTGGAAGAAGTGGAGATGGATTGGATTGGGCATGCACTGAAAAGGTGGATAGGGGACATCACGCGTCAGGCCAGGTACTCGAGTGTAACCGAGATGGGAAGCGACGAGTTGGGCGTCTGAGGTGAGGGTGACATGGAGGAGATGATGTGAGAAAGAAATGAAAGTTTGTGGGCAGTTGTGGAGTGAGGTTCAAAAGATTGTAGAGAAAAGAGTGCACTGGAGGCGTGTTACTGAAGCCCTATGTTCCATTAGGAACCCAAGGGACAAATAGTATAATATTAGTAATAATAATAATGATAATTTTTATTGATTACTTGGATTCAATCATTATTATCTAATTCCTTTTAAAGTTTATCTATTTTCATTTTCTTTTCATTATAGATCGAATGAAGAATCATTTATCCGTAGAGCTTATTATCAAATGTCTATGAAATATCATCCAGATAAAAATCCAAATGGTCGAGTTAGTAACTACAATTTCTACTTTCATATCAATCTGTTTCACTTTCTATCTCCTTGAGGTTATTTCTTTTATTCACTTGTGAATTAAATCCTATTAGGCATCACAATGAATGGATACTACGAAAATACAATCCACCATAGTATGTTGTAGACTTTTTGGAATCCAAGAAGCACATTTCCTCCTATTTAGGACTGTCTCATCGGTTAGATTTACCTGTGCACTAGTTGGTGATGTTGTTCCCATTTAAACTCTAACCCTGTACCAATCACTTTAAATAGCAAAGAGTTATCTAACAGGCTATTGGGGCACGAGAGCCACCATTTATGCACCAGATATCACTTGTTGATATACTATGTTGAATTTCTCAACCTCTGTTGGAAGATGGGCTCCTATATGAATGCTTCAACACTGCCGAAATATTTATTATCGTTGTAGTTTTCTTGGACGTGTATTTTGTTTCGGATAACAATTTCGTGCTTGAAGCGATTAGCATTGGGCTTGACTTCAGGTGACAAAAACACTACAACATAATGAATATTTGGGTTGTATTGAAGTGATTTGCATAGGAGCTCATCTGGCGATAGAGGTCGAGTAGTTCAACGTAGTATAACAACGGGGAGTTGCAAGTATTAATAGACAATACACCACAGTACTATCGTATCACTTCACTGAGTGGATATATTGTGAAACTTGATCAATAGACTTTGATTAACACTAAAGACTAGACTGCTTGTTACCGATTCCTGTTATTAAAAAAGTGTCAGTGGTAGCCTATAAAACTTGGTTGTTAAGTTTTTTGGCTTCATGAATGAGTGAAACAAGTTTGAATCACTAAAGGGATACGAGTTTTGTCAGGATTGTAGATTCACTTTACTGACGATTACCAACAAGTACGAAATCAAAGGAAATTTCTTGTCGATTGGTTTCCACTATATGAAACCAAAATATTATTAATTTTTCACATATATACACACAAACATATTAAAGAGTGCTAAATTCCTGTACAACAAATTATGTGTATGTAGTACTTTTGTGGGAAAAGATCCTAGAAGATTTCGATTTCGCCGATGATCACTTATGTCTACTGTCACACAAACTCGAAGATATACAGGCAAAAACCAACAAGTTGATAGAAGAGGCAGCGAAAACGAGACTTCAAGTGAACGTAGAGAAGACAGAGGTGTTGATGATACCCAACCAACAACAACAAGCTCTAATCACCATCAACGGGAGGAACTTTAAGGAAGTAGCCTCCTTCACCTACCTGATTGGGCAGCATCGTTTAAACTACAGATGGCGGCACAGAAGAGGACATCAAAGCAGCCAGGATCGGGAAAGCAAGACAGGTGTTCATTAACCTGAAACCAGTGTGGAGATCTTCTGCACTCCACTCAGCATAAAGCGTGAACAGCATCCGGATTTTGACACTAAGTCAATCAAGTCAGTGCTCTTATGTGATGGTTTAGAGACATGGTGCGTTACGAACGGCATTTCCAACTAACTATAGATATTCATCAACAACTGCCTACGCTGGCTCGTTACTAAATCTCTGATGGGCAAAAAGAATAAGCAACAAGGAACTCTTGGAATGAACCAGCGAAGCAAGAACCTATCACTCAACAAATATGCAGTGGAAGGAAGTGGAGATGGATTGGATTGGGCATGCACTGAAAAGGTGGATAGGGGACATCACGCGCCAGATTAAGCCCTCGAGTGGAATCCAAAAGGGAAACGATGAGTTGGCCGTCCGAGGTGAGGGTGACGTGGAGGAGATGATGTGAGGAAGAAATGAAAGCCTGTGGGCAGTCGTGCAGTGAGGTTCAAAAGATTACAGAGAAGAGAGTGCACTGGAGACGTGCTAGTGAAGCCCTATGTTCTACTACGAACCCAAGGGGAAAAAAATCTTGTAAATTGTAAGGGCCATCAGTACAAAGTTAGGAAAAGGAGAGTTTATCCTCAGATTGATGTACCTACATCTCAGTGAGTTATAGCATTCTAACACTCATTCCATTCTGTGTAGTTAAACCATCTCTCTGTCACTGTTATCTATTACAATAACTAACTAAACATTAAGTGTTGAACAACCATCTAAATACACTCGTAAAATCTCTATATTGTGATTAATTTGTCATACTACGATCATAGAAATCGTTGGTTCGTTCCCAGACTTCCTTGTTGCTTATTCTTTTTGGCCATCTAATCTCATCCTCAGTATCGAGTGAGCGTTGGCGGCAGCTGTTGATGAATGTCTGTGGTTTGTTGGAAATGGTTTTCGTAACGCACCAAGCTTCTAAACCATCACACGGAAGCACTGACTTGACGCTGGTGTTGAAAATCAAGATCTTGTTCACACTATATGCTGAGTGCAGAAGATCTCCACACTGATTTCAGGTTGATGAAAGCCTGGTCTTGCTTTTGCGATCCCAGCTGCTTTGACGTCCTCAACTGTGCCTGTGCCGCCTGTAGTTGAGGGGATGCTGCCAAGGTAGGTGAAAGAGACTACTTCCTTTAGGTTTCTCCCGTTGATGGTGATTGGTGCTTGTTGTTCATCCTGTTGTTGGTTGGGTATCTCCATCACCTCTGTCTTCTCTACGTTCACTTGAAGTTCTGTTTTCGCTGGCCTGCCTCTTCTATCAACTTGTTAGTTTTCACCTATAGATCTTCGAGTTTGTGTGACAAGACATTAGACACAAATCATCATGGTTGGCGAAATGCAAATCTCCTAGGGTGTTTTCATCGGTGCAGCTTTCGTATGCCCCTCTTCTCGCTGGTCACGGTTTGCTCCATGATCCAGTGTACCACAATCAGGAAGATAATTGGTTACAGTAGGCAACAGCCTTGTCTTACTCGTGTCTTCTCTTCAAAGGTATCAGTGAGCTTCCCATTGTGAATCACTTGGCATGTGGAGTCTTGATATAGTTGTTGAATGAGTTTGATGAAGGTTTTTGTTGCTGAAAGTGTAGTGTTGAAGCAGTTTCCAAATTACTTGCCGGTCGACGCTGTGGAAGGCCTTTTCAAAGTCGATGAAGTTGAGATAGACGGTTGACTGCCATTCTATGCTCTGTTCTATGATGATGTGTAGCGTAGCGTTGCAATTTGGTCCGCATATGATTTGTGCTTCCTAATCCAGCCTGTTCCGGTCGTAGTTTCGAATCCAGCGTATCTTTTAGTCTCTCCAAGTTAGTGCGGCGTTAGTGAAAATTCATAAAAGACAATTCAGTGATATCATCAAAATTAGAAATTGAATATATCATTTTAGAGCACAAATAGCAGACTTGTAGTGCTATATCAACAGAGTTTCTACTGTGTTGGGATGGAGAATCCACACTCACTTTGAAATGTTTAGCTTTACCTTATAAATGACTTTGAAAGACGCTTGTTGCGGAACAAAGTAACATGAGATAACCAAATATTCAAGAATCTAGCTGTTGATTGCTTTATAGTCTCCTTTAGACAGCCACGTAGGATAAGTGTTCGCATAGAAGACTCTTTCTGCCGCCTATGTAACTAGCTTGAAAGGAGCAGGTCAATTGGCAAAAATGTACAAGGAAGTGGCTGAATATAGTAGTTTATTCACTATACACTCTGGAATCGCATTTGTTGACTGGAGAAAACAATTGGTAGATGAGAGGGAAAGAAGGTTTTTTTCAGTCGATTCTTCAATATTTCTGTCAATATATCTCCCTGGAATTCAATACTCACAAATCGTGTCTTTTTTGAAACTATAGAATGTTGTTCTTTGAAATGCTTTAACATTATGGTTCCTCTCAATGAATCTTGAAGGATAACCATTCTTGATGAACGCTATTTAAAGTACTTTCATCTTCTCATTTACTGTATCATCTATACAAATGTTTTCAACTTTTGTACATAGTGAATGAACTAGACTTCTTTCTTTGGTTAATGGAACCGAAGTTTGGGAATTGATATATTGTCCATTGTAGATTTATTTCCTGTAAATCAATCGTCTTAGGGAACCATCATATTTTCATCTTAACAGAAAGTCTAAAAAGTGGAATTCTGAGTTATTGTTACCATTCTTATTATTATTATTATGATCATGGAACATAAACATAGTAAATGAAGGGATTGAAAAAATGCACCATATAACATGGTAATTTTTCATGAGGGTTGGCATACTACTCAGGCACCCAAACCGAAGTAGCTGATTTTCTTAGAGAACTATTCCAGACGAAATGTATCAGTTGTTGAGAATCCTTTTGCTAATTGACTAGTAAACCGTAGCAGTTGGGCAGATGCATTCACTCCTTGACATTTTTTAAAGTTCCAATATTCGTACTAACCTTCACCTTTTTCAACCTTTTTGTTCTTTGTAAACTACGTTGAAGTGTGGCAACTTAAGATGATTCACTGGTGAGTGAAGTTCCACGTTGATTCTGTCTGTCTGTTGAACATTACTTAACACATTAATTCGTTATGTCGACCATTTCATGCTCATTGTGTACATCTTGTCATTTGTCCATGAAATTCTTTATTGATTTTCACGGTAGAAAGACACTGTTGTGTATCGATATTGATCAGTTCTTTGTAAACTTGATAATCACAATATTCAAGTGAACGCCATATCAAAGTCTTCGTATAAAAACAGCTAGTCTATCAATACAAAGTCATACAATCAGTTGTAATAGTCAAAAACATCAGGATCACAAATAACAATGAGAAATGCCACACTTCAATAAGCAGTACAACGTTAGAGATAGCAAAAGGAAATTGGGATTCGGTTATCATGTTAACGCTTTGTATCTTCAAATGAATAAAAGTAAAGGAAGAAATTTGGAGCTACTACTGTCTCGTCAGCTATATATGACTGTACCAGTGTCAGTGATTTCCTTTCCATCACCTTTCGAAACAACGACAGATTATCTCAAGTCGTAAATAAAAGTCGTTTCTTTATTCAAAGTCATCGTCAACTATTGACATATGAACTTCCCTGCACCAATCTCAATGTTTGCGGTATTCTCAACGCATCTGTAAAGAGGTCCACATACCAATAGACCGTTAAGCGTTTCTCAAGTCCACTCGATCAAACAAGAGAAATTACAAGAAATAACATCTAAGAGAATAGTCTTCACACCGACTCCTATTCACTTACCACAAATACCATCATCAAAGTGATACTAAACATGACTTCACAGTATCCAACCTCATATAAGATAAATATATAAATACAACCTCAGCTCAATTATCGGGGCATAAATCCCTTAACATCATACACCAGATTATCTCATTTTCTATCAATCCAATATTCCTTAAATTATCTGCCTCATATGATTTTATCAACCTATCATAAACACCCGACTATTGTGAAATGATGGGGAATACTTATAGGTATCAGCTACTTTCATTGTTATTCTAAGCACAACATCATCATCTGCACAAACTTCACAATAAAGTGCACCATCACACTCTATCCTCAATTTATTTATTAACTTCTCCTAATGACCTTGTATGTGATTCGCTGTTTCTGTCAACGTTTAGTCATCATCATCATGTTCATTTTGATTGGTTGTTGTGATGACCTGAAATCTGACCTACTCCTTGTTTCTTATTGGTTGACAGATTGAGTCAATGTCAATGTCTGTTGATTGCTGACTCATTTGAATATCGAGGTACTCAAAATTATCTATCATTCTTTGTATTTCGTCTATCCAATGTTGTTTTTCACATTTTCCCAGTCAAATTCATATCCATGATTGTCTGTATTGATTGATACGCGTGAAGATATACCATGATGCTTCACTGCAAGTTGATGTTTAGGTAGACGGATAAAATTACGCCGAGTTGTCACTTTATGCAGCTTGTAGTGATTCTCGCAATCTCTACAGTTTATGTTGTAAATTTTATATGCTTTTTTAAGATACACTGATTCCAAATGATTTCAATCCCGTTGGAATTAGTTGGTTTGTATCAGACATTAGTTGCTAGAACATACTGACATAGACATTTGTGATGAAAATATACCTGTTCTCTTATGGTGACCCACCTCTTGACGATATTCTCCCATTTCTGTACATTATCTACAGAATTATTATTATTATTTTCAGTCCCTTGGGTTCCTAGTGGAACATAGGGCTTCAGTAGCACATCTCCAGTGACCTCTGTTCTCTGAAATCTTTAGAACCTGGTCCCACGACAGCCCAGAAGCTCTCATTTCCTCCTCGCACGATCTCCTCCATGTCACCCTCGCCACCGACGTCCAGGTCGTCGCTTCCCATGGGGATTCCACTCGAGCAACTGGCCTGACGCGTGATGTCCTCAGTCGGCCTTCTCAGTGCATGCCCAATCCATCTCCACTTCTTTCCAGTGCATATTTGTTGGGTGATAGGTTCTTGGATGGTTCGTCACCAGCCAGAGTGAGTTCCTTGTTGCCTATTCTTTCTGGCCATCTGATCTTCAGTATCGAGCCAGCGTAAGCAGTTGTTGATGAATGTCTGTAGTTTATTGGAAATCCCTTTCATAACGCGCCAAGTCTCCCAACCATACAGAAGCACTGACTTGACTGGGTTGGTGTTGAAAATCCGGATCTTGTTCCACATGCTGAGTGAAGTGCAGAAGATCTCCACACTGGTTTCAGTCTAATGAACGCCTGTCTTGCTGTCTTTCTGATTCTGACTTTGACATCCTCGTCTGTGCCGCCACCTTTAGTTGTAACAGTGCTTCCTAGATAAGTGAAGGAGGTTATTTCCTTTAAGTTTCTCCCGTTGATGGTGACTGAAGTTTGTTGTTGTTGGTGGTGCGGTATCTTCACTACCTGTCTCTGTCTTCTCTATATTCACCTGAAGTCCCGTCACGCCTCCCTACCTCTTCTGCTAACTTGTTAGTTTTCGCCTGTAGATCTTCAAGTTTATGTGACATCAGGCACAAGTCATCGGCGAAATCCAGATCTTCTAGATTCTTTTCCGCAGTCCAGCCTATCCCCCTCTTCTCGCTCCCCACTGTTTGCTGCATGATCCAGTCCACCACAATCTTATCTACAGAATAAACTACAGAAACCTTCAGGAGCATCATGGCATTTCTTCACGCGTATCAATCAATACAGACAATCATGGATATGAATTTGACTGGGAAAATGTGAAAAACAACATTGGATAGACGAAATACAAAGGATGATAGATAATTTTGAGTACCTCGATATTCAAATGAGTCAGCAATCAACAGACATTGACATTGACTCAATCTGTCAACCAATAAGAAACAAGGAGTAGGTCAGATTTCAGATCATCACGACAACCAATCAAAATGAACATGATGATGATGACTAAACGTTGACAGAAACAGCGAATCACATACAAGGTCATTAGGAGAAGTTAATAAATAAATTGAGGATAGAGTGTGATGGTGCACTTTATTGTGAAGTTTGTGCAGATGATGATGTTGTGCTTAGAATAACAATGAAAGTTCTACGATTGTGCCGTCAAGTTGAGATAATACAATACCATCAAAACCTTATTTTTTTAATAAACTGTCACCTTATTGTATAACTTAAACTGTTTACTCCTTTAAATAGTCGGTTGTTTTGGATTGAGTTACAGTAACAGCTGATTGTAACATTAAAACGTTCACATACGAGAAGAGATAATTCAGTGAAGAAACATTCTCTATTTTCAACGATATCCTTCTTCTAAAGCTTTACAATCGTATTCATGTATATATCATAAACATATAACAGTCTATTATAAAACAATAGGGTATAATTACATCACTAAGCCACCTAATGCTAAAACAAACCGGAATCAAGAATGCAAAGTAGTTGTGTAATCATCTATTAGACAGTAGTAGAAATATCGAGGAAGGCAAGGAGTTTGACAAGGTGAAAATGTTTGGTAGATAAGAAACACAAGTATTGAGTGTCCACTTGATAGATAGATGGATGTAGAGAAGGTGAAGAATGAGACAAGGGTCATAATGAAGGTGATAATAACAATAAACTAATTAATTATAATGAAATCGAAAAAATGAAAATGAGTGTTAAGACCATGAAAACAACAGTTCCTAAGAACACCTTGTTTATGAACGTTGTTTTCAAAGGCGATACGGCAGCAGAGATTCTGAAGAATCGACTTTCCAGATCACTGAAGAAGACATTCTTCTCTGCGAAACTGCAGATCATCTTCTCTAGTCAACAACTCATTCCGGAGTGCATTAAGGACAAGTTACCGCTTTGGACCACCTCGATGTGTGTCTACAAATTTACTTGCTCCTTCCTGTGCAGCTAGTTATATAGGCCGCACAAAGCGCACGCTTTCCAAACGTATCTCGGAGCACTACCCTGCATGCTTGTCAAGTGGAATCAATTAACAGTTCAATTCTTGAACATTTGCTCAACTCCAGACATGTACAGCCTGATCAGAATCCTCCTTCAATGTCATTTATCATGTCACATGGAATAGTTGAAAAGGAGTACACCTTCGACAGTTGTGCACAGCGGAGGCATTGGCAACTCATCATCAATTCAAGCCTGATCACTGCATCCAAAAGAAGTATGTTCAATCTCTCATCTTACCATGGTCTTAACACTTTCATAATGTCTTCTATTTCATTATAATTAATTAGTTTATTGTTATTATCACCTTCATTATGACCCTTGTCTCATTCTTCACCTTCTTTAAATCTATCTATCTATCAAGTGGACACTCAATATTTGCATTTCTTATCTACCAGTAATTTTCACCTTGTCAAACTCCTTGCCTTCCTCGATATTTCTACTACTGTCTAATAGATGATTACACAACTACTTTGCATTCTTGATTCCGGTTTGTTTTAACACTAGATGGCTTAGTGATGTAATTATACCCTATTGTTTTATAATAGACTGTTTGTGATATACATTGCCCTAAAGTTGTGTTACCCTTTCTTCATTTTTCTCAATTTATTTCTTTGATTCATTCTATCAGGAGAAATTTCAATCAGTGACAAAAGCTTATCAATTTTTATGTAATCGTAGTAAACTATCTCGTGGTCCAAATCGTTTACATATCCAATTAATGCTTCGAGCTCAGAGTATTGTATACAGACGTTATCGTTCATGTAAGTTATTTTATACTTACTTATTACAAAGTTGAATCACTTAACCAAGAAGAAGATATTTATTCAGTGAAGAGACTCTTTTCAACAGATTTATTTTCAAGCTGTAAAATCGTATATATACGATGTTTGAAAAAATTATATCCCGTGAGGAAAACTAAACACCACATAATGATGACGATAATAATAATAATAACAGTAATAGTAATAATAATAATAATGATAATAGAGCGGATGATGACATAGGCATTTGTGACTAATGATAACAGTATGAAGCGTGAATAATAACAAGGTTTATTACGTAATACATGGAATGGTTCATAGAAGGTATATAAGTGCGAAGGGGGGGGGTGTAAGAAATTGATGAAAGTGGTAAATCAACTAAGTTGTATGTAATAGGATTAGACACGTTGATCAAGATGAAATTCATGTTTTCTGAAAAGACAATTAAATGAAATAACACCGGAGACTAATCGAAACCAGAGGATGCTTTCTATATATGTATAGGAGAACATGTTCCAGTTTGGTTTTATAAAGGTGAAAGAGAATCGGTTAGAAAGTTGTACTGTAGAACAGTTGGTTGATTTCCATCATTCAACAAACCTAGACAATGACTTTAAAATTATTTATTGAATTCCCCCAAACCTTCCACGTTTTCTTCGTTTTCAACAACGGAGACTTTAACTATTCATCAACTAAAACCTGATCTGTGTCACCTGTAGTTGAGAAGATGCAGCGAAGGTAGGTAAAAGAGGCTACTTCCTTTAGGTTTCTCCCGTTGATGGTGATTGGTACTTGTTGTTCATCCTGTTGTTGGTTGGGTATCTCCATCACCTCTGTCTTCTCTACGTTCACTTGAAGTTCCGTTTTCGCTGGCCTGCCTCTTCTATCAACTTGTTAGTTTTCACCTGTAGATCTTCGAGTTTGTGTGACATGACATCAGACATAGATCATCATGGTTGGCGAAATGCAAATCTCCTAGGGTGTTTTCATCGGTGCAGCTTTCGTATGCCCCTCTTCTCGCTGGTCACGGTTAGCTCTATGATCCAGTGTACCACAATCAGGAAGATGATTGATTACAGTAGGCATCAGCCTTGTCTTACTCGTGTCTTCTTTTCAAAGGTATCAGTGAGCTTCCCATTGTGAATCACTTGGCATGTGGAGTCTTGATATAGTTGTTGAATGAGTTTGATGAAGGTTTTTGGCTCTGAAAGTGTAGTGTTGAAGCAGTTGCCTGCCAAATTACTTGTCGGTTGACGTTGTCGAAGGGGGTGAAAAAATTGATGAAAGTGATAAATCAATGTGATAGGATTAGACAAGTTGGTCAAGATGAAATTCATGTTTTCTGAAAAGACAATTAAATGAAATAACAATGGAGAGTAACCAAAGTCATCGAATACTTCCTACACGCATTCGAGAATATGTTCCAATTTGGTTTTATAAAGGTGAAAGACTTTCTTTCACACAATTTATTGTCCATAGTCATCATATCAAGATAACTACACAACTTTGAGATCTCCTTTATATAGTCTTAATTTTTTCGTCTCTTTGTGAGAGATGGCTAGTAAGATTTCCTATATATCCAAAACGTGCTGAGTCATTCCTGTTCCATGTATTACGTGTTGGTTGATTCGATAAAGAAAGATCTAGTCAGTTATCAATCTCTCCCTCCCTCCATCGTGTTATGTTAGTTCTAAGCATTTTCACCCTGTCCCATCCTATTGTGTGGTTGTGTGTAATCGTATGTATAGCTATGGATGAGCTTTGTGTTCCGATAGCCTAATTGACCCTGGTCCATTACTTTGACTGACCTATGTATTTGACCTCGCAATCCGTTGTAAGGGATTTGGTAAACTAAGATATTCGGCTTAATTGGATCGATAGGATCTTTTATCCTACAGAGCTTATTTCGAAGTGAGTTTGTAGGTTTCAGTGCCACTGTAATCCCAGCTAGCCAGCCAGCCTTATTGAGAATTCCACGTAGTGTTTCTCAGGTGTCTTCTTTGTATGGTAGTACTGTAGTAGGTTTGAATTCTCTATTCACATTATTGTCGCTACTATTATTAACATCATTATCAACATCATTATTACTATTATTGTTGCTGTTATTACCATTATTACTACTAATAATAATAATAACTGTGTTATTGATACTTTTCCTACAATTCCTAAGGAGCTTATCATTTAATTTTGGTAGGGTAATTATTGATGATTAACGCGTCTTTAATGTATCTAATTTGTTGTTTTAGATCCTCTGTTTTACTAGTAAGATTTATGACCCGGTTACTTAGACACTTTACTAAGCCAACTTGAACTGATTGGCATAGGGTGAGACGATTTGAAGTCTAAGTTGTGTAGTTATCTTGATATAACGACTATGGACAACAACATAAATTATGTCCGATACGTAATCCAGTAAACAATTACTGTTCCTTCACTGTGTGATAAATCTAATCAATCAATAAAAATGGGACTACACTCTACCACAGTAGACAAGTTTTACTCTGGAATTCGATAGATTAGATTATTTTGCTTAATTGGTTCTATCGGATCCTTAAGCCAGTCGACAAAGCTTATCTCTGTGCGAGTTTGTATATTTAAATGTCACCCTAATTCCAGTTGTAATGAAGATCCTACATACAGTTTTTGATGTGCCTTCCTTGTACGGTTTTCTAGTTATATCACTTAGACATTTGACTATGCCTACCTTCACTGACTGACATTGAATGAGATGACTTGAAGTAGTCTAGATGCCTGTTGGAATGTGTTGATTCTGTGTAGATGGTACAAATATAAATAATGGTGACAGCACGAGTAGAAATAAGCTCAAAAACTCTATTGTGTTGCTATATAACGAAGGAACATCAGAATGTTTACGTAGGATTCTCAACAAGGCTGCAATCAGGATGGCATTAAAACTGACAAACTCAGAACTACTTGAAGAAACTAATGTAATCAATCAAATTCCATATAATTACTGGGACTCAGACCAAGTACATAGGTAAAAGTAGCCAATCCGAGTCAGTTAGAATAGCCGAACATAGAAATTTAGCTGAATGTAGAATGACAGACCCGAATAAGATGAACAATCTAGAAAATAACTCAGCCATTACAATGCACACATTAACACACAACCACACACACCATATGGTGGGTGGGATAAGACCATGGTACTTAACTCCAACGTAAGTAGGTGAACAGAGAGAGAGATTGATTAGTGAATCTCTGTTCATCGAATCAACCAACACCCTACTCATGTAATAGGAATGATGACGCAACCCCTGTAGCAGATATATGGACAATGTTTACTACCATTGGTGGATGACAGGACTATGAAGATCAGACATCGGAAGTTGAGTGTGATCACCATGATATGATGATCAAGTAAATAATACTGTATCACCACCTATTGTGTGATATGAGTTTCACCTCCTTGTTTACCTCGTTCGACTGACTGGTGAGTTTTCCAGCTCTATTATATTTAGACATTAGATTGAAGCTGACTTCACTGACTGACATTGGATGGGATGACTTGAGGTCTAGATACCTGTTAAATTTATGTTGGTTTCCTGTAGACGGTGAACAGTATCCAAACCACCGACTTCTGTCCTTCTTTTCACTGTGGAATCCAACATAGGTAATTCTCTTTTTCATTTTCTGCCTACTCATAAGTGAATTGGTGAGTTAGATGAGAGGAACATCGGAATTTAGCTGAATAGATATATATAGAATGACAGAGGAGGATAAGATGAATAATGTAGAAAGTAAGTCGTCTATTGCAATGCATGTATATGTGCACACAACCACACACACACACACACACACACTATAGGGTGGGTGGGATAGAACCATTGTACTTAACTCCAATATAATTAGGAGGAGAGAGAGAGAGAGATTGATTAGTGAGTCTCTGTTCATCGAATCAACCAAGACCCTACTGATGTAATAGGAATGATGACGCAATATTTGTGCCAGAGATATTGAAAATGTTTACTACCATTGGTGGATAACAGGACTATAAAGATCAGATATCGAAAGTAATGTGATTAGATATTGATATGATTATGAGCTTGAAATACCATCAAGTAAATAACACTGTACCATCACTGTTTGTTGTATATCAAATAAGCTAATCGAATATGGTATTAAATTCTGCCATAATGCCCAAGGTTTTACATCAAATGAAGTCAAATGATTGTGTTTCTGGGATTTTTCATGTTCTCATGTTATTAGTTCTATACCTCTGCATATTCAACCGTTACGTAACACTTCGTTATCTAATTCACACTATTATTATTTATTTATCCCTTGGGTTCCTAATGGAACATAGGGCTTCACTAGCACGTCTCCAGTGCGCTCTGTTCTCTGCGAACTTTTGAACGTGGCTCGACGACAACCCAGAAGCTTTCATTTCTTCCTCATACGATCTCCTCTATGTCATCCTTGCCTTGGACACCCAACCCGTCACTTCCCATCTGGGCTCCACTCGAGTGCCTGGCCTGGCGCGTGATGTCCCTGAATGGTCTTCTCACTGCATGCTCAATCCATCTCAACTCCCTTGTAGTGCATATTTGTTGAGTGATAGGTTCTTAGTTGGTTATCTGATAGCCGGAGTTCCTTGTTGTTTATTCTTTCTCGCCATCTCATCTGATCTTCAGTAACGAGCCAGCGTAGGCACTTGTTAGTGAATGTCTGTAGTTTGTTGGAAATGGTTTTCGTAACGCGCCAAGTCTCTGAGCCATACAGAAGTACTGACTTGACGTTGGTGTTGGAAAGCTGAATGTTTTTCACGCTTTATGCTGAGTGTAGAATATCTCCACACTGGTTTCAGGTTAATGAACTCCTGTCTTGTTGTTTTACTGATCTTGGCTGGTTTTGACGTCCTTATCTGTGCCGCCTATAGTTGAAACGATGCTGGCCTGCGTAGATAAGTGAAAGAGGCTACTTCCTTTAAGTTTCACATGATCGCTAGATATTATTCATCATAGAATAACATCAGTTGAAAGATAAAAAAAGATAACCTATGAGCAGTGGAGAGCTGTCTCATCCCTAGTATGTGACACTCTTCAATAGTATACACTCATCATCCATCCGACTAGGGATTAAACTCGGTACCTTCAAATTTCAGCTAATGAATGGGAGTTCATAGTTTCCTACTTCTTTTGAAGGATGTTACTATACAAGTTTTCAGTGTTTCCTCAACTAATGTTAGTCTGCAATGAATTATCAACATATTACCATTAGATATTGTTATTTTTATGTAATTGTGAACGATATTCAAAATGTTATAATATAGAGTTATTGATAACTATTTCAAGTTTTTTATTCATCGTAGACAGACATCAGTTGAAGGAATATTGGGAACAGACTTAGGAATACTGTTTCGTCCTAATATGAGACTGGTCAGCAGTGCTCACCCATGACCCCGCCAGGCATCGAACCCGCGACTTCCAGCTTCCATGGTCAGCACGTTACTATTAAGCGACTAGATCAGAATCTAATGGTCAATATTTCCAACTTCTGTAGCGGGTTGAATCCCTGGTGGGGTCATGGGTGCGCACTGCTGAGAAGTCTCATACTAGTTGAACGAAACAGCTGTCCAGTGCTTCCAGGTTTACTTTGTTCCTCCAACTTGATGTCTGTCAGTCTACGATGAATAATAACTTGAAATATATTTCCAAATATTATTCATCTAATGAATTCAAGTTAATTACATTGTACCTTTTTTTTTTTCTTCCTGCGTCTCCCCCCCCTTCCCGCCTCTTCTCTCACCTCTTTACCGCATGTAGTGCTTATTTCACAAAATACGCTGGTTATCCAATGCTTATAGCTACTATACTTAGTGAAACATCAGATGATAAATTATTCTCTTATAATAAACAAACTAATCAAAATGGAATAAATGAACAAACACAATCAACACAATCATCAACAGAAACAATTGATAATACTGTCTTATTAATTGCTGCAACAGAATTAATCTATGAAACAGTTGTTACTAGTGTATTGAATGCAGAAGAATTACGTCGTGAAAATGGTATTCCAGTATTACAAAATCATTTCACAATGTTCAAATCTTTTATCACGTAAATCAAGTCAACCGATACATATTATTGTACAAGTTTGTGAATATATTATCTCTGTATTAGCTGCTGCTTCATTGTTCCCTTCTTCTCGTCAACAAATTCAAGAGACACCACAATTAGTGAAAGATACAATAAGATTATTATATTATAAGGTGAGTTGTTTGTTTGATTCCCTCCGCCCCCTCGTCCACTTCTTTCAATTTATTTCTGTCTTGAATGATAAACAAATAATATGTGGCATTAAAATGATATAGGCATATTATCGTTATTATTATTACTATTTGTCCCTTGGGTTCCTAGTGAAATATACGTCTTCAATAGCAAGTCATCATTTCACTCTCTTCTCTACAGTCTTTTCAACCTGGCTCCACCATTACCTACGAGCTTTCGGCTTGGCCTGATGCGTGATGTCCGTAAACTGTCTTCTCAGTGTATGTCCAATCCATCTTCATCTTCAATCTCTGTTCCAGTGCATATTTGTTGGATGATCCGTTCTTGCTTCGTTGGTTGGTTTGTTGCCAGCTAGCCAGCCAGCCAGAGTTCCTCCTTACTACTTATTCTTTCTGGCTAACCATCTCATCTCATCTCATCCTCAGTATCGAGTGAGCGTAGGCGACACCTATTCATGTATGTCTGTAGTTTGTTGGAAATGCTTTTCGTAACACGCCAACTCTCTCAACCATCACATAGAAGTACTGACTTGCTTGATTGAATTAGTGTTGAATATCTGGATCTTCTTCACGCTTTATGCTGAGTGCAGTGCAATGTAGTAGATCTCCACACTGATCTCCACAGATTAATGAAGAAAGACCCATCTTTCTGTCTTTCCGATCCTAGCTTTCTGATCTTCATCTATGCAGCCGTTGCCACTTGTAGTTGAAACGATGCTGCATAGGTAGGTAGGTGAGACAACTTGCTTTAGATTTCTCCCTTTGATGGTGCTTGTTGTTGATTAGGTATCTTTGTCCTCTCTGTCTTCTCTACGTCTTCCTGAAGGAATTGATGTCTTCGCTGCCCTACCTGTTCTGCCAACTTATTAATTTTCGCCTGTAGATCTTCTAGTTTGTATGACAAGACATAAGACATAAATCATCATGGGTGAAATTCAAATTTTCTATGGTGTTTTATCTTGTTAGTTACTTCACAATTTCAAAACAGTTACTCCCTTTGATAAAGTTGCATAGTGTAATAAGATAATGATGATGATGATAACAAAGGTTATCTAAGAAGTGTGTGACATATTCGCGAAGTACACCTTCAAACAGTTTAATCCTACATCCTTACTTCTCAAACCATTTTAAAGGATGAAAATAGGGCACGGTAAGATAAATAACTTAAGATAATACAATATTTAGAAAATAATATGTAGATAATAAGCAGGGATATTAATACATTTTCACACCTCCCTTGGCATTGAAATGAGATGAAGATTACCAAGGTAGGTTTATTATTATATAATCATTTGTCCTTTGAATTCCTAGTGGAACATAGGACTTCAGTAGAACGTCTCCATTTCACTCTGTTCTCTGCAGTCTTTTCAACCTGGTTACACCACTGCCCACAAGCTTTCATTTCTTCTTCACATCATCTTTTCCACCTCATACTTGCCTCGGACGCCCAACTCGTCATTTCCTATTCAGGTTCCACTCGAGTGCCTGATCTGACGCGTAATATCCCCCAAACAGTCTTCTCAGTGTATGCCCAATCCATCTTCATCTGCACCTTCTTCTACTTACTTGTTGGGCGATAGGTTGTTGCTTAGTTCATTAATCTGCGGAGATCAGTGTGGAGATCTACTACACTACACTGCACTGCACTGCACTGCACTCAGCAGAAAGCGTGGACAAGAGCCGGATATTCAACACTAATTCAATCAAGCAAGTCAGTGCTTCTATGTGATGGTTGAGAGAGTTGGCGTGTTACGAAAAGCATTTCCAACAAACTATAGACATACATGAATAGATGTCGCCTACGCTCACTCGATACTGAGGATGAGATGACATGAGATGGTTAGCCAGAAAGAATAAGTGAGGAGGAACTCTGGCTGGCTGGCAACGAACCAACCAACGAAGCAAGAGCGGATCATCCAACAAATATGCACTGGAACAGAGAGTGAAGATGAAGATGGATTGGACATACACTGAGAAGACAGTTTGCGGACATCACGCATCAAGCCAGGCCGTCGAATGAAACCGAAATGGGAAACGATGAGTTGGGCGTCCGAGGCTGACATGAAGGAGATGATGTCAGTTTATAGCATGGAAAGCAAAGAGTAACAGAACCTGACAAAGTAAAAGAAGACATGAACTCTGGTTAAAAACAGATCTCAAGTAGATAAGATATTGAAATATTTTCAGGTAAAGATCATTGAAAAGTTCTCTATGCAGCAAATTCTCTTCTACCTTTTGCTTTGTTTCTTTTTCAGAATTTACCTCAACTCTGTTGTAAAACTGCAACATGTATAGCTTCATTTTGTATAGATTATTGGTTATGTGTAACATGTTATGAATATGGTGGATTATTTTTATTATTGCAACATGTATTCGCTTACGATTTTACACTGGAAGAAGCAGGTGTTGATATTAATGAAGAAACGAATTCACAAGTATGTTCAGTTTAATCATTACCTATTATTATTATTATTATTATTATTATTATTATTATTACTATTATTATTATTATTTTGTTGCCAGGATAATGATTTGACAATGGTACTTCTTGTATACTTCTTCAAGAGTCGAATTACAAGACACAACTTTTTTAGTATGGGAGTATTTTCTGATCTCTATTAGAGTACATCCTGCATGCCTTACTCAATTTGGATATAAAAGGTCTCTTGAGTATTTGACAACGTATGTCATCTTTAAGGGCCAGTGTGTCTGTGTCCTTGTTATGCGATTATAAGAAAGTCTTGAAAGTAAATATAAAGAGATTACTGGTATTAAAACGTAGAGGTGTCTTCTTAAACATTACTCATATGTGGTGACACCACCGTGTATCGAATGTCGAAGTTAATTGATAGGTTTTAGACAAGGATATAAACCTTTACTGACTGAGATGACTTGTCGATAGATAGCTGACATGAAGTATAGCGGTTAAGATGAGGATAATGTGTGTATACATCTGCGCTATATCACTTGTCCCGCGGACCCCAACCGGCTAGTCTACATCGCCCTACATGGCTCAAACCAACAGTCAAGGACTTCATCCATTGATGTCATGTTTTAGTCTGATCATCCCGAGCCTTTTTACAGACTGAACCTAATTCGGCCAACATTATGTGACAAGGCAGACGGTGCTTAGTAATGCGTAACAAATTTCCTAGCCAGCCGTGTAAGTCGGTGAAGGTTCACAACCGCATCAATTGACTTACCTCTCCTCCCTAAAACTCTATACCTGACTTCAGCGTTACTCATGTAGTGACACCATGAAACACGATTTATGCTAGGAAGGCAATGGTGGTTAAACACCTGAAGCCTTCCCATGTTTTCTACCTTTATTAAGCATATTTCACAGCCATAGAATAGAAAATAGGGGACTGAAGTACAGTACACTCGATCCTTAATCAACAAGTGAATATTGTGCATGTGCCACAGATTGCGTTAGTTGGCAAAAGCCAACCAGGCCTTTTGTATCTGTGCAGAGATTTCGTTGGCCACTGACAAATACTCCAGTGCTAATCCGATTTCCGAGGTAAGTGAAAAGTTCAACTCTACTCACCTACTTCACTCTGTATTATTAGTCAGGGTACTGTTGAATACCAGTCCTGGAGCAACAATTTGCAGTTACCGTTGTAGAGTAAATTGCTACACAAGTCAGACCAATAGTCAGAGACTTCGTAAACGGGTACCACATCTTGGCGTGATTACCCTCATCCCTATTCCATCCAAACCAATCCTAATTTTGCTGACATTACATGTCATGATAGGCAGTGGGTTGGCATATACAACATATATCCAAGCTGTCTTAATCCATGAAGGTTCACAGCTTCATCGAATAACTTGTCTTCCTTGTCTAGCATCCTTCACCTCAGTTGAAATAGTGATTACATCAGACGTGAGAAGAATACACTGAATATAACATGTCAAATAAGTGGTCAACAAATCAAAAACGTAAACTTTTAGATGTGAAAAATGGAGTCTGTGTGTGTATGTGTGTATGTTTCTTTCAGACATACACACACTTTTCCCTTACTTTTCTATCCTTGAAGATGATCATTATTGCTTCTTATTATATCAAGGTAACGACTTAATATAATGATTTAATACTCTAACATATTGGGCTATTGAAGCATTCAACATCAAGATTCTATCCTGTTGGAAACGGTTCACATTCTACACCAATGGGGTTACTACCATTTAAAATTAAAAACCCATTGACCCTGCATATAGAAGATGATGACAAAAACTGGTGATGTAATAAGCGATTTTTTACTAAGATATCAATCAATACGTTAGTATTGGAAATAATTAGAAATTAGCTAAATGTTTACTCTGATTTTTTTTTCTCATAAAACTACGGTGTCAGTTGATGAGATTATGTTGGATGTTCATTACAATTGTGTTTGACATTCACAACAACATTTATAGATAAACAGAAGATGTGATAATAGGGAACATATAACAACTTAATAGGTATTTCATTCTATTATTATTATTATTATTATTAGTCCCTTGGGTTCCTAGTGGAACATAGGGCTTCACTAGCACGTCTCCAGTGACCTCTGTTCTCTGAGATCTTTTGAACCTGGTTCCACGACAGCCCATAAGCTCTCATTTCCTCCTCGCACGATCTCCTCCATATCACCCTCGGACGTCCAACTCGTCGCTTCCCCTGGGGATTCCACTCGAGCAACTGGCCTGATGCGTGATGTCCCCAGTCGGCCTTCTCAGTGTATGCCCAATCCATCTCCACTTCCTCCTGCATATTTGTTGCGTGATAGGTTCTTGGTTGGTTCGTTCCCAGAGCTCCTTGTTGCTTAGGTATTTCATTCTACTCCTAAGATATGCTTGAAATATATGAATTAGACAGTTTACTGTGTTGAAATTGGAGTTTTTCAATAGTTTTTTTTTGGACAATATTGTCTATGTGTCGATCACCCATACATAATCTAGCCAAATGGTTGGCAAAGCTCTTGAATCCTGTCAGAAGCCATTTATGTAAGTCCTCATTGAAAGATACATTTGACCTTATTGACTGTTTAAATGATATTAATATCAAGGATAAGACTATGTACTCGTTCGATGTAAATTCTTTATTTACTAATGTACCTCAATTGATATTTTATGTGACTATATTTCTTCTAACAGTCTTATATTCCCTATCCCTATTAATTTTTTAAAAGATTTATTGTTATTATGCACTGATAAAGTTGAATTCACATTCGAGGGCGAACACTTTCAACAGATTGATGGTGTCGCGATGGGCAGTCCATTAGGACCGTTGCTAGCTGATGTATACATGTCATATGTTGAAAACATGGCTGACGATCTCATCGGAAGGGTTTCACTTTATAAGAGATATGTTGATGATATAGTCATTATATGTGAAAAGCCTGATGATGCAATGTGCCTGCTACAGAAAATGAACACGGCTCAGAATCACATTAGCCTGACTTGTGAACAAGAGACGAACAACCAGCTACCGTTCCTAGACGTATTGCTCAGTCGACGGGAGGATGGCTCGATCAGGAGGTCGATCTATAAGAAACCTACATGGACAGGGCAATATCTTAATTTCCATAGCTATTGTCCAGTCCAATATAAACGTGGTTTAGTCAGATGCTTATTCAACAGGATAAACCGTATCTGCACCGATGACACCAGGGAGGAAGAAACCAACTTACTGACGACAACTCTGATACAGAATGGATACCCGTTGAGATTTATCGACCGGTGCAAAAGTTATGTACCATTGAAAAGTACACAGTGTTCCGTTGCTAAGAAAATGTCTACATCTCATTACCATTTAGAGGTGATTCACATAGCTTTGTTGTGAGGAAAAGACTTAGATCGGCCATCTGTAAAACGTATTATGCAGCTAAGGTCATCATTGTAGAGAAGACCAAGTCCATGTTACAGCACAAACCGAAACAACATATAAACGATTACATCACATCCCACTGTGTTTATCAATTTACATGTATGTGTGGACACACATATATAGGGAGGAGTAATCGTGATATGCAGTTAAGGAAGGTTGAACATGTACCTAAGTGGCTACAAAAACAAATGACCTCAACAGATCCGATAAGTGCAGGTGACAAACATCCATCTTCGTCTATCGCTAAACATATACTAGAAACTAACCATAGGATAGACATGAAAACAGCCTTTAAAGTACTACATAAAAGTGGTCAGAGCCGAGTGCTTAAATTTATTGAAGCTCTTGCCATCCGTAAATTTAAACCCCCTTTATGTTACAAAAACAATTTGTACTCACGTTGAACCTACCTTGGTAGTATTGATTTTAATTTTCATACCAAGAATAAGGTTTTTCTTCTTTTCTATCCCTTCCTATTCCTATGTTTCCCATTAACTTCATTGACCTTTTCGTAAATTTTCATATAAATAGTTCGACAAGTCGATGTGTGGTCAGATTGTTCGAAATGTATAGCGCTAATACATCACATGTTTCAGATAATCTTCGTCTTCTCATTACGCTGTTTGAAATATATGAATTAGACAGTTCACTGTGTTGAAATTGGAGTTTTTCAATAGTTTTTTTTTTCATACACATCTACATTGAATAATCAGTTCAATCCAGTTCACTTATGAGGTAGAAAACGGACAGAAAGACTTAGGTATATTTGATTGTAAGGTGAAACAAAGAACGGATAGGGGTTAAGATACTAGGGTTTATAGGTAACCAACATTCCATTTTAGTCTGTTTATTAGATATATCACAACAGTGAAGGAACAGTGCCATTCACTGAATAACGTACATCTTGGACACAATTTATTGTCCATATTCATATCAGGTAATTAACTCCACAACTTCGAGAGACACTTTACATAGTCCTCATTTTCTATCCTTCCTCGTAATGATATGACAAGGGTAGTTGAAGTTTCCTTATATCTGGGATAGGCACAGAATCATTTCTATTACTGCATGGTATTTGGTGTTGATTCGATAAAGAAAGATTCAGTCGGTAATCAATCTATCCCTCCCTCCCTCCCTCCAACCAACTAAGTTATTAGTTCTAGATACTGTTCGCTCTTCCCACTCTACCGTGTCATTGTATATATAATCTCATAATTTCTTATCTTATCACCATCTATTTATTTTTTATTATTAGTCCCTTGGGTTCCTAGTGGAACATAGGGCTTCAGTAGCACGCCTCCAGTGACCTCTGTTCTCTGAGATCTTTTGAACCTGGTTCCATGACAGCCTAGAAGCTCTCATTTCCTCCTCGCACGACCTCCTCCATGTCACCCTCGGACGTCCAACTCGTCGCTTCCCCTGGGGATTCCACTCGAGCAACTGGCCTGACGCGTGATGTCCTCAGTCGGCCTTCTCAGTGCATGCCCAATCCATCTCCACTTCTTCCTGCATATTTGTTGCGTGATAGGTTCTTGGTTGGTTCGTTCCCAGAGTTCCTTGTTG